CTGCAGCTCTGGGGAGGCCTTCGGTTCACAGTCCCTCATCTCCGGGACACGAAGAAAACCGTCCAGTTTGACTTCCAGATCCTCAGGTAGGGAGTGAGTGGTGTCGGGCAGCAGACAAGTTGGGGGCGGGGCGTAGGGGGCGGGGCAGGGGTGGAGCCTGGGCCGGGTGAATTCAACCTAGCGGGCTCCATCGCCATCTCACTCTCCATCCCACAGCAAAAATCTCAACAACTCGCAAAGCGATGTGGTTTCCTTCCGTCTCTCAGTGGAGGCTCAGGCCCAGGTCTCTCTTAACGGGTCAGTGCCAGGGCAAAATGGGGCCTGTCAGGGAGGGGAGACAGACTTCTAGGTAAGGATGCACACAGGGTCGCTTCCACTGTCCTCTAAACCACCCTCCTCCCCAGTGTGTCCAAGCCTGAGGCAGTACTGTTCCCGGTGAGTGACTGGCATCCCCACGACCAGCCTCAGGAGGAGGGGGACTTGGGTCCCGCTGTCCACCATGTCTATGAGGTGAGGAGGGATAGAAGCAGGAAGGGCCAGGGCCAGGACAGTGGCTGGGAGTGGAGGGGCAGGCCCAGAATGAATGCAGGGAAGGAGGAGATAGTGTGAGTGACACAGGCTGGGACCACAGTGAGCTGCTGAGAGAGAGGAGGGAGGTGGTAATGATATACAAAGGCCTGGGCAGGGGCCATGTGAGAGACAGCCAGAAGAGTAGAGACAGGCCCGGGGACTGACTTGGAAGGGAAGGATGGAGCCACCTGCAGGAGTGTTGGCTGTAGAGGATTTGTCTCTGCTGACTGACTCCCTCTTTCCCTTCTGAGGCAGGAGACTTGCATCAGGGTAGAGGGGACTGTGGTGACCCTGCTTCTCAGTGGAGCAGAATAGTTCTCTTCCTTCTCAAAATGATTGCGTTCTCCTCTCCTTAGCTCATCAACCTGGGCCCCAGCTCCATTAGCCGGGGCGTGCTGGAGCTCAGCTGTCCCCACGCTCTGGAAGGTCAGAAACTCCTCTACATGACCAGGATCACAGGATTCAGCAACTGCACCACCAGTCACCCCCTCAACTCACAGGGCCTGGAGGTAAGGGGCCTGGAGACTGGCCTGGGGGAGCAACCAGGGCTAGGGGAGTAGAGAAGTTCACTGGGGGGCTGGAAGAGCCAATGAGGATGTGCTTGAAGCTAGGACTGAGACCGCAAACACCTCGAGGCCTTGGGAAGGAAAAAGACTTCATACACCACCTGAAATATCCTTCCCTTACTTCTTTCCCTGGCATATTCCTAGGACCCAGCTCTGTGCCCCCTCCTCTGAAGCCTTCTTCCCACCTGTTTCCCTGGGCCCCAGTGCCTGGTTTAAAGTTCTTTTACTCGTTAACAAAATTTAATGAAATGAGCATCTACACTGTACACTGTTATAAGCCCAGGACATATCTCCCTGAACAAAACCAACAAGCTTTCATGGTGCTTACATTTTAGTGGAGGGTAATAGACAAAATGAAAAAGGATAGATTTAACAGCTGTTTAAAAGTGATGAAGTGCAATACTAACATGCAGGGGGCTGAGGGGCTGGAGACTGAGTCATCAGGGAAAATCTCCTGAGGTAACAGTTGAACTGAAGCCTGAAAAACAGGATGAACCTGCTTTATGAAGACTCGGGGAAGAGCATTCCAAGCAGAAGGAACAGCCAGTGCAAAGGCGCTAAAGCAGGGACAGAGGCCTAATTATTTACACATGTCCCCATAAACTCTAATGACCAAGTTCAATTTATTTCCACATTTTAGTGCTGAGTTTGGTTCCTTGCTATTGGAGGTAGTCAGTTGGATAGAAAAAGAACAGGTTGAAACTTTGACACTGGCTGACTGACTTAGATGCCAACTTAGACACTGTAATGAGGTGGGAGGGGCAGCTAAGGGTCCCTTTCCTCTTCCAGTTGGATCCCGAGGGTTCCCAGCACCATCAGCTGCAAAGGCGGGAAGCTCCAGGCCAGAGCCCAGCCTCCCCTGGGCCTCAGATCCTGGTAAGTCGTACTGGGACTTGGGTTCTCAGAGCCACCAGAAGGTCAGAACTCCAGTTCAAGCCTCAACTTTTTTCCCAGAAATGCCCAGAGGTGGAGTGTTTCAGACTGCGCTGTGAGATTGGGCCACTGCACCGGCAAGAGAGCCGAAGTCTGCAACTGCATTTCCGAGTGTGGGCCAAGACTTTCCTGCATGTGAGAGAGCCCCAGTGACCTTCGGGCCAGCCAGAGTGACTCTCTTTGCCCGCTATCTTAGCCACCTTTGGTGAATGGGACCCAGACACTCCAGCTCCCCTCCCTCGCCCTTGTTTAGGCAAGGCTGCTTTCCTTGGCGCCACCTGGTGGCTCCACTGGGAGTGACCAGAGATAGGGCTGGAGGGAGACCAGCTTGCAGAGAATAATAGAAAAACAGAAAGATGGAAGATGTATCATAGTGGAGAGGCAAACAGATGAGGAAATAGTAAAGAGCCACATTTGTTAAGCACACACTATGGACCAGGCATTAGCCTGGGTGATTAGCCTATATGAATGATTCAAAAACTTTTTTTTATTGAACATGCAGTTATCTAATTATACATTATTTAGTTATAACTATTCAAATGCACATTTATTATCTCGTATAAAGAACACAGAGATTCAAGAGTGAATGATTCCAAAGGAAATGAGTCCATATAGGGAGATATCACAACCTTAGCCAGGCCATGGGGAGTCCTTTGTCCTCTGGATCCCAAAAGGCACCTCCCTGAACACCCTGCTCCCACCCACAGCGGGAGCACCAGCCATTTAACCTGCAGTGTGAAGCTGTGTATGAAGCCCTGAAGATGCCCTACCGAATCCTGCCCCGGCAGCTTCCCCGAAAGGAGCTGCAGGTGAGTTCAGGGCCAGGGGTCTGGGCCAAGGAAAATAGGGCTCAGAGTGCACAGTCTTGTGGTGTCAGGAAAGTACTCCTGGAAGAAGTAATGTTTAAGCTGAGACCTGAAGAATAAGAAGGAACTAGCAGGCTAACAAGTCAGGAAAGGCATATTTTCTGGGGAGAGGGAATTAGCAGGTGTGAAAACCCAAAAGTAAGAGACAATAATAAACATTTTAGGAATCAAAATTTTGAAGATCAGAATTCTGTTAGCCCAAGATGGGAAGTGGGAAGTGAATCTAGGTCCAATGGCAAGTGAGAGCGAAGTGTTGGATGGGAAGAACTGATGGCTTGCATTGACCTCTCCTGACTTGCTCCATAGGTGGCCACGACCGTGCAGTGGACCAAGGCAGAAGGCAGCCACGGTATCCCACTGTGGATCATTATCCTAGCCATCCTCATTGGCCTCCTGCTCCTAGGTCTGCTCATCTACATCCTCTACAAGGTCAGCCAGCTCCTACCCATGACTTAGCTACCCTCTTACAGGCTCTGCCCTTGACCCAGCACAGTCCCCAGTATCTACCTCCAGACCAGTTCTCTAGCCACATGCCCCCTCCTCTGCCCTGGCCACATTGCACCCCATTCTGTCCCTGCATTTGCCTGTATTTGCAAAATCAACATTACTCTCAGGTGATAAATATGTGGCATTTGTGATGTCACATCCTCCAAAAACCCATGGCAGCCAATACTAACTGATCATACTCTAGAAGTGGCATTAGAATCCTTCACAAGAGGCAGCCACTACTAGGTGATCAGACATGGAACTTGAGTTCAAACCCATTTTCCATCCCTGGCTTAACTGCGGGGATTTTTATGGCACTGATAGAAAGACCCTCTTATACCAAATCACCCCAAGCTTTAGCCCTCCTGGCCCATTGGACCTCTTTGAGAGAGAGTCTTAATAGCCTAAATCTAGGCCACTTTTGCAAGATGGGGATATTGGAGGCCCTAGAGTCCTCTTCATTCCCACCTAGGATATGATATAGGGAGAAATGGGAGCCAGAGTATCTAAACTGTCCCTCCTTCTCCCCTCATTAGCTTGGATTCTTCAAACGCTCCCTCCCATACGGCACCGCCATGGAAAAAGCTCAGCTCAAGCCTCCAGCCACCTCTGATGCCTGACTCCTCCCAATCCCAGACTCCCAATGCTGAAGGCCCAGTCCCCCCACCCTTAGTCTACTGACAGGGAGGGAGCTGGGCACTTCCCGAAGGTGCTGAGGGCCAGGGAGAAGCTCCTCTCCCCAGCCCAGAGACATACTTGAAGGGCCAGAGCCGGGAGGTGAGGAGCTGGGGATCCCCTCCCCCCATGCACTGTGAAGGACCCTCGTTTACACATGCCCTCCTCATGGATGGGGGAACTCAGATCCAGGGACAGAGGCCCCAGCCTCCCTGCAGCTTTTGCATTTTGGAAAGTTTCCTGAAAACAACTTGGAACCGAACTGGGGAAGTCCAGTCCCAGTACTCTGGGCCAGACGTGCCCCAGGACTTCCTATCCAGCTCCAGCCTGCAAAAATCTGTCCTCAGCCTTGCCAGAGATCCACAGGAAGCCCTAAGCTAAGAACCTGGACCCTGGGGAGTGAGACCTGGCAGCTCTGGACAGCCCCCACTGTTGTGGGCCAACAAGGAACACTAACCGTGGATGGTGCCCCAGGCCCAGCTCAGGACAGATCCCAAATGAGGATCAGTGCTGGCCCAGAACCAGCTCCAAGGGAATCAGAACTCTAAAGGGCCTGGAGTTGATCTGGGACCCAGACTCGGACATTGGGAACCTAATCAGGCAGACCCAGGCCTACATTTGAGCCTGCTCCAGACCTGGGCCTGGAGGCCCAGTCCACCTCTGACTCAGGAGAAGTCAGGATTGCCCAGGACCCTGAAGGGGCCACGGTGGCAACAGATCTGGAACCTCAGCCTAGCCAGATGCAGGCCCTCACAGTACCCCAGGAAAGGGGAGCCCACTGTCCCAGGCCTGCAGGATTTGAGTTCTGCCCGCCAGCTGCACTGATGCTGCCCTTCCTCTCCTTGCCCTACCCTCCCATCACCTCGGCTCCGGACACCCGGGACTTATTTAAACTCTGTTGCAAGTGCAATAAACCCGGCCTGGTGCCCCCCCTAACCAGAGCTGGAATCTGTGTCCTACCCTACTCTTCCCAAACCCATCCTGGAACCGCACAGCTTGTTGGGTAGGAAATGTCCGTGTTTTTCACAGCTTCTTTCCACTGGGAGCCAGAAGCATGCCCCTCCCCCCCGGGAACTGTGGAACTAGTTTGGGGGATCCCTTATCTGAGGTGAGAGAGGTGATGGAAAGGGTGAAGGGAGGGCTTGACCTGTCACCCCCCCACCGGGTCTGGTCCTCAATCCCTTCTCAAGAGAAAGGAAAGGAATACCTTCTCTTTGGGTCTGAGAATTAGGGAAGAAAGCAAAGGGGGAGATCCAAGTTAAAGGTAGGGAAAGGTGGTTCAGAAGACTCACCTGGGCTTCCCTAAATAAGAATTATGAAATGGGTTGAGAGAAAAAGCCACAGAACTCAATCAGAAGAAAGCCAATTAGGTTTTTCTTTATTTTGTTTTTATTGCTTATTGTATGCTGGTAGGTAGAAAGGGTGTTAAATAGTTTGCATGCATTATTTCATTTAATTTTTGTCCGTAATCCCCTGAAGTAGGTACAATTAACCCCATTTCCATAATGGGAAATTGAGGTCCAAAGAGATTATGTAACCTGCCCAAGGTCATACAGTGAGTGCCAGAGCAGAGTGAAATTCAGCCGTGTCTAACTGTGAAAGTCCTCCTTAACCAACATGCCATAGGAATTCAGGTCTTGGGTGAGAAGTCAGTGAGGGAGCTCCTCAGGGTTGTCTGTCCCCTCCAGGCCCTTGTGTAGCAAGAGGAAGGAGAGGGGTGCTGAAATTTTAATGGGATTGTTGGGAGGGGAAGATGTCCACGTCCTGCTAGACCAGAATTTAGCCACCAGAGGGCAGCATAACCACAAATTATGGGAATTTTGGGACAAGAAGGTTATGCGATCCACCTCATCCTCATTCCCCATCACCAGAGCTATTCTTATTAACTGAGGCTCCTGCCTACCGGAGACTGCATCACCTCAGAATATCTCTCCTGGGAGACCAGTCCTGCTTCACATTCCAATCTGTGACTTCTTATAATTCTGTACCTCAGGAACTCCTTCCTAGAACCCATTAATGAAGAGGGACTGATGGGGAGGGAGAGACCTGATGGAGCAGAGCCACCCAGTATTTCCAGGCTAGCAGCCATGGCAGAGACACTGGGAATTCTCAAAGAAGAAACTCCCATACTCCCCCTCTTGGGGGAGGGGTGGAAGTGGCATCAGCCAAATTCCAGGGGCCAGATCTGAGATTTCTTTATCTATGGGTATGAGGAAATGAGGGAAGATGGGTGGTATATATTGACTGGTGTCATGGATGTATCTGTATAGTGCCTGTGCCTTTGAGTCTCAGAAAGTGACAAGGTCTCTCCCAAGGATGCACAATATCTTAAAGAAGGAATTCTTGGGCTGAGAAATGCTGCAGATGAAATCCACACTGGCCTCTCTGTCCTGAACTGTAATTCTCAGGCCCTGGTCTGTTTCCTTTCCAAGTCTCTCAGCCACTCCAGAATATGCTGCCTCCTGTCCTGAGGCTTGAGTGATCAGAAGGATATGAGGATGGGGAGCCTAGGAGGCCTGAGCCCTAACCTTGTCTGTTTCAATAGGATGGAGAGGCCCCCAGGAGGGAACAGAGCAGCTGGGGGTACAGGAAGGGGGAGGGGGCTCAGGAGAGGCAGCTGGCAGGCGGGAAGCTGATCTGGGGGTCTCAAGTTTCTTGACATCAATTAGAGCAGCCTGCCTGGGCTCATTAGTAGCCCGGGGTGCAGGGCTCATCAATAATGAATTCACCCCGAACACTGCACCCCCACCTTCAGCTGCTTGCAAGGTCACCCCACCCTCCAGCCAGCTGACTACCCTTAGTAAGCTAAGCACCCCCTCTTCTAAGACTTCCCTAACTCAGAGTCCATGGTAGCAGGATGGGAGGGTAGACATGGCTGAGGACAAAGGGGTCTCTAACGCCAGTACCACTCCTAATGCTGGCTCTTGTTTGTTCTCAGAATCCACCTGGGAGGAGAAAAAAAATGGGAAGAGGCAAGGAGTGTGTATGTGTAGGGAGTGGATAACAGGGTCTGGGGAGAAGCAGGCTTTGTGATACTAGGGTTGAACAGTATGGTGTAGGTTGGATCTGGAGCAAGAGAACCTCCACCGGTGAGCTTGGAGACCCCACATTCTCCCCCAGGTCAGACTTGGGCAGCAAAGCCACTGTCCCCTAAGGTCTCTGGGCCTTTGAATCAGAACATTCCGTGGCATAGGCACTGTCAACATTCTCTTGCCCTTGAGCTGGAGTATCTTGGCTGGGAAAGAAACAGATCTTTTCTTCAAACCATATCAATGGGGTAAGGGCAAGAGACTGCTCAGGCCCAGAAATAGGAACTTCAACTTCCTGTACCTTAATTAGCCATCTAGTCCCCACTTTCTGCACAACCCAGGAATACCAGTCTCCAGTCCCCTTCCCCTTCCTAGGCTGCTCCAAAAACACAATTCTGTCACCCTCCCACCCACCATCTTCCTCCCTGCCTCCACCCTCCTAAATCCCAAGTGTTCTAGTTCCCAGTCATACCTCCTTTCCCTCTGGCTGGATTGGCCTGAAGCTGGCTGCCTGGCATTCTGGGAAGTCTTCCTCCTGCCCTGCCTCGTACCTCCCTGGGGCAGGTACAGACAGGTCCAGGCTGCAGCAGCTGCATCTTCCCCAGACACCTTGCAGACTCCCAGACTCAAGCCTCATGCTAGGGTCCCAGTAGCCTGCCTCCAGCTAAGTCCACCTGTTGATTCTTAGAATACATCCTGTGTCCTGTACACTGCCTCCCCACAGACATTTTCCCCAGTCCATACATTCTGTCCTATCCTTCATCTTCCTCTCCAACTCACCAGACACTCTCATCAGTCCTCCTCCACCCAAGCTCACCTTAGTGGGAAATGCCCTGGGCTCACGCCCTGGATGGAGCTCCCATCCCCACCCCAATCCAGGTCATCTCTACAAGGTTAAGCCTCATTTCTGGTCTTGTGTCATCTTCTGGCTGCTCTAATGACCTCAGCTGCAAACTTCTATTTCCACCTCTTTGGATCCATTTGAGTACAACCTCCTTACTCAGACTTTCCCTAAAGACCTAGACATTCAGACCCCAGCCAGAGTTCAACCTGGGATCTAACTTCAAACCCACATTTCACCTCTGAGACCCAGCCGCCAGGCATCCTGCTCCCAAGTCGGAGAATCAAATGAGAACCCAAACATTCTCTGCCTGGGCCCTGCCAAGCCCATCACTCTGGAGAGGACCCAGGTGTCCCACTCAACCCAGGCCCCGTCCCTCCCCAGAGTACTTAGGCATCTGCCACCCCATATGAGCTCATGACCAAACTTCCCGACCTCAGACTCAGCCCTTCCCAGGAACCCATGCATCTTAGTTTACAGCTTCTTCCACCACCTCACTGTCTTCTAGATGTGTTGTTCCCTCAGCCCTGGCTCCAAATCCAGGAGACCCAGGGGCAGCAAGCACAAGAGAAAGCGTGACGCGGCGAGGAGCCGCCAGGACGCCCCCTCACGGAGCCCTGGGTGTCGGGGTCCCCCCTCCTCCCGTCTTCACCTGCTGCGGGCTCCGCCCCCACTCCGCCTCGGCCGGCTTCTGCTCCTCCCCCGACTCCTCCCCCCGTACCCCCAGCCCGGCCAGAACGGCCCCCGGGACAGAGCGACGCGGAACCCCTGGCTCCTGGGTCCCCAGCATGATCCTCGGTGAGTGGGTTCTGCGGCTCCAGGTTCCAGGCTCCTGGGTCCCTCTCAGCAGGTCACCCCCCCCCACCAACCTCCCGGCACCGCGGTGACTGCGGCCGCCCGTCAGCGACCGGTTCCCCCTCCTCCTTCATCTGGCTCCACATCTGGGGTCCCCTCCTCCCCAAGCTGCCGCTTCTCCCGGTAATCTAGGGAGTGGTAAGGGGGGGAGGCAGAGCCCAATAAGACCCCCACCCCATAATGAGAACATTGCGTATTCATGAGGCTCATGAATATTATATGATAGTCTATGAGAGGCTGGGGGAGGGGGTTGGTCCTGGCCCGGTGGAGTTGAAGGAGAGGTTCTGACCCGTCCCCCCTCCCTTCTGCGCCTTCCCCCACCCTTAGCTCAGACACTCTGACATCCTTCTGGGCCCAGGATAAGAGGGAAAGGAGGAAGTGGGGGGTGGGTGGGGGTGGAAGATGGTGGGAGTAGCCTCGAGGTGTGTGTGGTGGGAGGTGGAGACCTGAGGGCTGGAGATAAAGGGGCTTGGGAGAAGAAGGGGCGGGAAACTGCCCAACCCGGGGCCCCTGCGGCTCGGATCCTGTCTCCGCAGCCATCCTGCCCCAACACGCCGGGACCTGCCTCTCTCTCTCCCTGCTCTGGCTGCCTGGGCCCTTCCTTCCCGGCTTCCTTCTTCCTCCTTCCTCCCACAACCCCACTGCCACCCCTGCCTTGGGCCAGGGGCACAGGGAGAGGAAGGGGCAATGGAGAGAGTAAAGATGGGGGAGGGGAACACCCGCTGGGCGCTGACAGCTCTTCAGCCACAGCCACCCCATCCTCATGACCTACATCGGAAGGGAGCCCTGGGTGGGGGAGGAGAGGGACTAGCTGTGGTGGGCTCCTCATCAGCTTGGCTCCAAGGCCCCTACCTCCGCATTAGTCCACAGGCCTACCCTGTCCCCTAACCTCTGACCTCTGCCCTGACTAGGCCAGTTCCTGGGCCTTGTTTATGGTGGGAGCCCCCCAGCAGGCCCAGATACCTGTGTCTCCCTGTCCCCCACTGGGGACACCTGGCCCCTTGCTGGTGTCCCAGGGCCTGCCTGGCTCCTACCTCAGCCCTTTGCTAGACCCTCTCCTGTTTGCCTCCTTGGCTCATGCTTTTCTTCTTTAATTTGACCCCTGTTGACTTCCCAATAGCAGCCTTTCTCCCCCTCTGCCCTCCTTCCTCCATCTCTTTCTCTCCCTCCTGTATTTCATCACTCTCTCTCCCACTGTGTCTGCCCCTCCACCTGGCACACCATCATATCTATTCAATAAACTAAGGAAGTAATTCCATAAATGAATGAGTATTTGCCGCCTTCTATCCCGTGAGTATTTCTAGCAGGGAAGAGACTCCCCACCCATCTATGAAGACTATCCTCACCCTAGAGTGACTGTCACCAACACACCTTGGACTCAGGCCCCCAGAGCACAGGCTCCACATTCCTCCAACCTGTGCAATCCCTGCATGCTGGCCCCACCCTGGGCATGGGCCCCACCCCAGGCACAGGCCCCAAAGGCAGCACCACACTTGTCCACAATAGGCCAGTGTGAGCTGCACCTCCCCCTGGGCAGTAGGCCCTAAAGAGGACCTCAGCAAGCTGCTCAAGTCAGACCAAAAGCCCACCATAGAATGAACGCCTGTGTCCACCAAAGAGCCCCTACCACATCTCCCCTGGAAGACACTGTAACTCCCTCCTGTGCCCAGCCCACAGAGGGATGGGAAGCCTGGCAGCTCACACACCTTAGCTGTCTTTGAGGAAAGAAGGAGAGACGGAAGAAACTGCCAGACAGGGTTCAAGTCCCTCCTTCAGGGTCTGGTTGGAGGGTTTTCAGTTTCTGAATGCTGAGGCATGATACGGTCTGTGCATGAATCCATGTGTATGGTGGCCCTGACCAGCAGGTGGAGCCCAACCTGCTTGCTCAAGATCTAGACAGTGGGACCAGGCTGAAGGTAGTGGCTCCGGGCTCAGTTTCCCTGTTCTGTGCCTCTCACTGTCCTCTCCATATGGGCCCCGAGTGCAGTGAAGGGCCCATTGATGGAGGCTCTTTCCTGTCAGGCTGGGAAGATCTCCCAGGGGCCTTCCTTCCCTTCCTAGCCACCTCCTCCCTCTGGGCCGTGCCCCCACCCACATCCACCCTGGGGTTATTAGAGATGATGTTTTGAGTAGGTGTTCATAATCACTCCCTTGTTGCTTTCATCTTTGACTTCAAAGCCTTTCCAGCCCTCACCTTGCCTCCTGCTAAGATAGGGGAAACTGAGGCAGAAGGGAACAGAACCATGGAACCTGGTCAAGAAGGCAAGACCCAGGGGTTCAAGGCTCTTCCCTCAACCCCCAGTTTAAGGCATTTCTGGGGAGGGAGAAAAAGAGATGGATTATCGGTGAGATCCCAGTCCAGACTCCAGTCCAATTTCTCCCTTGGCCGCAGAGTCTAATTCCCATATTAACCCAGTACTGACCCCATGTTTTCATCACCTTGGACCCTAATGCTACTTGCAACCCTAACCCTGATACCTCCCTCTGATTTGAATCTTATCCCGGCCCAATCTTCAGACCAACACTGACCAACAGCCTTACCACAACACTTTTCCTGGCTCCTATTCCTACCCACACACCGCCACTCCTGAGCCAGCCCATGGCAGAAGCTCCCATTCTTTATCTCCAGAGCTTGAAGCCCCAGGCCCTACCTAAGATAGCTAGCTAAGGGGTTGGGACTCTGACCTGGCCAGAATTTCTGGGGAAGAGAAAAGGGTAAAGACCAGACACACATCAGTGGGATGGAAGGGGTCAGATGTGGCTTGGTGCTGGAGGGGAAATCTGAGCAGGATCAAAATGCCTAGAGCTAGGTAGGGCACAGAAATGGACAGATGGACATCCATTCAAGGGTCTGAGAATTCACCCCCTCTAAAGTGCATTGGGAACTGTCTTTAATAAAGCATTTGCCAGTTCCCCACAGAGTTGGGTGGGGCTCTGTCTACTGGGTAATTACTCTAATGAGCTTCCCCCTGGAGTGGCCTGCCCCAGCCAAGCTCCTGCTCCTCCCTGCCCTGTCTGACATGTGTGCCTCACATACACATGCAAACATATACACACATACTCCAGTTTGCTCACTGCCACCTCTTCCAAACCCACCTGAAGCCTTTACCTAACCAGATGTCAAAAGCCCCGGATTTCCTACCTCATGGTTTCCTGTTTCCCCAATCCTTACTATATTCCTGCCTTGTCCCCCTCCCACCTCTAGCCTATCCAGAAAAAACGTAGTGCCTGAAAACCTTTTCTCTGGAGCCAGACAGATAGGTTCAAATCCTTGACTAGTTGTGTGACCTTGGTCAAGTGACTCCCCCTCTCTGAACTGATTGTCACCATCTATAAACTGAGGGTTCATTTATTTAGCAAATATTTATTGAGCTTCCTCTGTGGCATGTCAGTACTTTATGTGGATTCGTTCAATCCTCTCAACAACTTCATGAGGCAGGCACTATTGTTCTCATTTGACAAGTGACAGATGAGACGAAGAAAGTCCAAAAAACTAGCTAGTCAACCAGGTATTGAGCAGGGAAACTGAATATGTAAAGTGCCTATAAAGTAAGACCTCAAAAAGTAGCAACTATTATTATTCTCAGAAAAGGGGAAGGGAACTGAGGCTTAGGCCTGTTCTCCCACCTCGGCCAATGAGCTGTCATCTAGCCCTCTCCCCACCTCAGATCTCAGATTGGAGTGAACACAGGAATCTGAAGGAGACAACTGACCTCCAGAATTGCCCACCTTGCTTCCCTGCTTCACTCCATCCTCATTTCACCCCTTCCTCCCACCCCACCCCTGTGCTCATGTCAATAGAAAAGACAAATTGGTGGCCGTAGAGAGTGGCAGCTGACTGTTCTTCCAACCCCAGTTAGTGCAGGGCCCTCACTCTCCCCTTCCTCCCTTTGAACACGAGTGAAGCTTGTGCTCAGATCTCTGCTTCAGAGTTAGACTAGAGCCCTTTGGGGTTATGTAGCAGAGAAAGGATTTGCTACCAAGTGTGACAGATCTTGATTTAAATCCCAGCTCTGAGACATGTAGGCTGTGTGACATCAGCCAAGTTCTTTAACTCTCTAAGCCTCAGTTTCCTCATATGTCAAATGAAAAAAGTAGTATCAACACTCCATAGAAACACAGCTACTTCCAAGATTAAATGTGATAATACTCAGAATTCGTTACCTGGCACATAGCAGCTCCTTGATGCTTTTTTTTGCTGTTGCCTTTTCCGGAACTCATCTTGTTCCTCTGAGATGGGTGTTTGAGACATGGGGGCCTCAAGAGTCTAAAGCTGGGGAAAGGGTCAAGGAACTGCCGGTTCTGGTGCTCTGGGACGGAGCAAGTGCCAGCCCCAAACCAGCTGCTGAAGGTGGGTGCTGGGTGCTGGGTGCCAGGGACTCTGGGACTGCTCAGGTTTCTCTCACCATTCCTGATGCTGCCTAGGGCTCATTAAGGCTGCCTGGGTCTCCTGGGCCAGGCAGGAGGGGCGGGGTGTAGGGGGAGAGGCCATAAGGGGACAGACCAGGAAGGGGAGATGGTGGGGCTGCGCAGCAGTCTGTCTGTCCGTCTCTTCTCTCTCTCTTTCTTTTTCTTCCTGTCCTCTGTCTATTGGTCTTCCCTAGTCTATCACCCCTCGTCCTGAGCTCTGTGTCCAGCTTGTCAGCAGTCTCTGCTTTTCTCTCTCACTTTGCTCTCTTCATCTCTCCATTGTTCACTATCCTTTTCTTTATCAGTGCCTATGTCCCTTTCTCAGCCACTTACTCCTGCTCTGTTAGTCCTTATTTGCTGTTGCCTTTTCCGGAACTCATCTCGTTCCTCTGAGATGGGTGTTTGAGACATGGGGGCCTCAAGAGTCTAAAGCTGGGGAAAGGGTCAAGGAACTGCCGGTTCTGGTGCTCTGGGACGGAGCAAGTGCCAGCCCCAAACCAGCTGCTGAAGGTGGGTGCTGGGTGCTGGGTGCCAGGGACTCTGGGACTGCTCAGGTTTCTCTCACCATTCCTGATGCTGCCTAGGGCTCATTAAGGCTGCCTGGGTCTCCTGGGCCAGGCAGGAGGGGCGGGGTGTAGGGGGAGAGGCCATAAGGGGACAGACCAGGAAGGGGAGATGGTGGGGCTGCGCAGCAGTCTGTCTGTCCGTCTCTTCTCTCTCTCTTTCTTTTTCTTCCTGTCCTCTGTCTATTGGTCTTCCCTAGTCTATCACCCCTCGTCCTGAGCTCTGTGTCCAGCTTGTCAGCAGTCTCTGCTTTTCTCTCTCACTTTGCTCTCTTCATCTCTCCATTGTTCACTATCCTTTTCTTTATCAGTGCCTATGTCCCTTTCTCAGCCACTTACTCCTGCTCTGTTAGTCCTTCTCACTCACTTTTGTCTGTCTCCTCACCTCCAACCCCACCCCAACTCTAAGGTGACAGAGGAACGAACAGACACGGGGCATACAGAGCCCAGCTGCCCAAGGGCCAAACCAAGCATCTTGCTTTTTCTGTCAGCCCTTGGATGTCTAGAGCCCAGTCTCCCAGCAGCCTTGGCCCCTCTTGGCCTGGGGCACCCTGGCCACCAAGACCTGGCTGTGGGCAGAAGAGACAGACCCCTCCAGACCTCCTGGACCAGCTCCCTGCCCCCAGCTGTGCCTAAGCCCTCCCCACCCCCTCCCTCTCTGCCTCTGATTCCCCTAATCCCTGCTCCCCCGCCCTCCCCTCTGCCCCACTTTTCCAGGACTCTGATTGGCTGATTCTACTGACTGGACTTGGGGGGAGGGGGCTGGCCACGGAAGGGGTAGGGGGCAGAACCCAGGGAAGGGGACGCTGTCAGGCCCAGGCCCCTGGGGGGCCAGGGCCAGGCCACTGCCTGGGGGCAGCAGGCACCAGAAACTAAAGGTATGAAAAGGGACAGTCTCTATGGAGGGAGCAGGAAAGGATGGCGGGGACCCTCTGCCCCAGGAAGGTCAAGGGAGGACGGGGCCAAGCTTGCAGACTCCTAGGTTTGCCTTTGTTCCTGGGAACCCCTGCTGCTGGCAGAGTGTTGCAAGAGCAGTGAAGGGCAGCCAGAGTTCCCTGACTGGTGGACAGTGAGGTCACAGACCTGAGCTGGGCCAGTGGAGACCAAGAGGGGTCTTAAGGGCCGTAGGGCCAACCCTTGGGGGCCTGATGGGGTTCTTCCCATGGCTGTGAGGGAGAAGAGTTTCAGGGGAGGGTAGTGGAGTGGCTGGCCTGGACTTTCATTTCCCCTTGGGGTCAGACCCAGGCATTCCCCCTCCCAGACGCCCGGTGGCAGTTCCTCCTGCAGGAATGGAGCTGAACACTCCCAGTGAGACAAAAGGGCATGGGGGAAAACAGGAAGGCTGGGAGAAGGGGCTCTGAGAATGGCCTCTGGAAGTCCACCTCCCAGAGCATATGCCACTCACCTACCACCTGCCCCCAGAGATGTCAACAGTTAATTTTAAATTACATTTGGGCCAAAATCATAACTCTTTGGGGTACCTGAAAGTTTCAGTAGCCCTCCTCCAAGTCTAGGCCTCAGTATTCCCCTCTGGGCAGTGGGATGAATCAACCACCTGACTCTGTACTCTCTGGGGTGAAACCTAGCCTTTGACACTTCATGGGGAACAGCAATACCAGAAGAAGGGAGTGGCCAGGGGCACAGGGCTCCCAAGGCCTACTGGTCCAGCTCACAGGTTTGTGCTCTTCCTGAGTCTGTAAAATGCTTAAAGGTCTTGAGGGAGGGAGGCTGGAGAAGGGGGAAGTGAAAAACCCCTAGAAGGGAAGGACTGGTCTGTCCACTCCCCCGGGCTAGCAGGGCACTGTGCTCCATTGCTCTGGAGCCAGCAAACAGGGGAAGTGTGTGTGCATGGGGGTCACACTTCCACGTGTGGGGGCCCCAGCTGTGGAGTGGGATTCACAGGCTTGGGTGGGGCTCCTGAGCTTCAATCTTCCTGCCCCACGTAATGTTTTCTCTGCCCTTCAGGAAGCCTGAGCCGGGCAGGGCCCCTCCCTCTGCTACGGCAGCCCCCCATCATGCAGCCCCCTCTGGACCTCAAGCAGATCCTTCCCTTCCCACTGGAGCCAGCCCCCACCCTGGGCCTCTTCAGCAACTACAGCACTGTGAGTAGCAGCCTGCTTGCCTTTCCCACCCTCCTGTGACCCTGGCTCCTTCTCTCCTTCTGACCCACCCCAGCCCTCTTCTCCCATTGTATCTGATACCTTATCTCTTCTTAGGACCCTATCTCCTTTACTTCTAGTCAATTACAAGTATATTGGCTATCTGGTATACTATGGACAGCAATAACAAAAACACCTAATACCTGCTGAGGTCTTGCTATGGGCCACTCTGCTAGGTGTTTTGTATGAATCGTCTCATTTAGTCCACCACCTGGAGAAGTAATGAGACCTAGATTGGTGGCTGTGACTACAGGGAGGTGGGAGGGTGATAAGTGCTGAATCCAGAAAGAGGGAATAAGCAGCAACATAAGCATACTCGTTTGTAAATTCCAGCTCTCTAGAGCCTGCAGTTGGGTGGGTAGGGTCACTGGGTTTAAAGGGCCAACAAAATTATCTAGACTTAATAAAGTATGAGGGATGCATTCTTAAGCAAGATAGTGACTTGGTAAGAGCAGTGGTTGGAGAAAGTGAGTGGAGCAGTGAGATGGAAGGGAGTCTGGAGGAGGGTGGCTAGTTAGAGGCTGTCCCAGCAACAAGGGTCTGCAGGGAAGCCTGGAAGGCCAGACTGGGATGGTGGCAGTGGCAGTGTGAGTAGAGAGGAAAGGGGGTGGGTGAGGTGTTTCCAAGGAAATTTTGACAAGTCGTGGTGACCAACCAGTATTTGGAAATTGGGGAGAAGAGAGAGGATGAGTCAAGAATTACTCCAGGGTTCAGGCCTCTGTGACTGGGAGGAAAAAAAATCACTTTTACAAGGGGTTGGAAGAGGAAGCTGGTCTGGGGTGAGGCTGCTGAACTCACTTTAGGACATGGTGAGTTGGTGTACCAGTGGAACATTGAGCCAAAAATGCCCAACAGACAGTTGGAATTTGGGTCCTGGAGAGTGGGCTGGAGCTACAGGCTTGGGGGGAAATCAGCCTTATTCAACTCAGATAACCCACCTTCAAATCATATTCAGCTACAAACGTATATTGAGCATCAACTATGTACCAGGCACTGCAGATGTTTCTATACAAGATCTCATTTAATCTTCACCACAACCCAACAAGGTAGACCTTATTATTCCTGCTTGACATATGGTAAGACAGAAACTAAGGCCCAGAAGGGTTTAGTAATTTATCTAAGCTGACATAGTAGGTGCATAAAGGTATGATTTGAACCCATAGTATCTGATTCCAAATAGAGTTCTCTTTATACCACGGCTGCTCCCTCCAAATTCCTCCCGAAGAATCCCAACCAACATTTGCATTACACTTTGAAGTTTACAAAGTGTTTTTCGTATTCCAACCTTTATAGCAAGCTTGTGGGTAGCTGTTGTTTTACCCTCATTTTAAAGATGAGAAAACTGAATACTGACTATAAGCAAGGCATGGTTCTAGATATGATGGAGACATGAGGGTAAACATGACAGTAGGTCTTGAAGGACCTTGTATTCAGGGAGACATATAGACATGCATGCCATGATCTACAATGTAAAATAGAGGAAGAGTTACAATCATTATGACAGAGACACTAACAAGAATGCAAGTGAACCCCGAAAAAAATATTTTGAGCAACCTACTATGTGCTGGCAGGGCTACAGGGCTCAGTCCGTGCCCTTTAGGGAGCTCATAGTTTACTAGGAAAGACACATTAACAGATAGTCTATGGTGTGAGAAGAGTAGTGTCAGAGGCATCTAGCTTGTGTGGGAGCCCAAGGGGGTGTCAAGGAAGATTTGATGGATGGGGTGGTGCCTAAGGGACCAGCTAGAGCTAGGCAGGAAAAGGAGGTTGAACCTGGATCGGCTAACATATGATTTGGCTTTAGAGAGCCATTAGTAGGATTTTAAAAGGGGCCTAAAAAACATTCAGTCTGAAGCAAATAACATGAACAAGGGCTAGAAAATAGCACTGGAGAAAGTGCAACCGATTGGATTGACTGGAGCAGAAAGTGCTGGGAACACTCCGTCCCCACCACCCATCTACGTGCCTAATGTGCACTTTTCCTCAGGTCTCTCATCACTTTCCACATTTTATAGATGAGGAAACACAGAGATTCAGAGAGGTTAAATGACTTGCCCAAGGTCACAAAGCTACTTAGCCGACTCATGTGGATAATCCAGGGTTTCTGACTCCCCTAGGGTTCATGATTCCACTGCTTCTAGTGGGGATAAGCTATTTAAAGCCATGAACATGAATAGGCATGGAGAGTGCAACAGGGTATTGAGCAGCTCCAACTTTGGCATCTGATTGGCAGGATTTGAACTGACATTCCAAAAGTACTGGCTGTATGACGTTAGGCAAATTATGTAGCCACTCTGAACCTCAATTTTACTTTTTTACCAGCTATAAAATAGCATAGTAATAGTACCAATTCACAAGGCTGTTGTGAGAATCATATTATATAACCATAATGCCTAACACAAAGTAAGCATTCAGTGTTAGGTGCTATGATTATTATGTTATTGCTATTATTTTTATATAAGGGAGGATCAAGTAGAAAGGTAGTATGACTAAGACCTCAGTTTGGAAAATAAGCAGAATTAGGCAGCGGGAACAGGAGGAGACTCCAGCAGAGGAAATGGAGGAGCCACTGGAGGGGGTGAGGACAGAACCAGGTTCCTGTAGAGTTGGAGAAGCCAAGGGAGGGAGTGTGGCGGCCTGCATCAATAGTGTCAAATTCTGCAGGGGAACGAGGACTGCAGAAAAGCTGCAGGCAGGCGTTTGGCATTACTGTGCAGCAGTTAAGTACAGGGCTCTGGAGTCAGGCTGCCCAGATCTAAATTCAAATCCCAGTTCAGCCACTTACTAGTTTATGACCTTGGGCAAATTATTTAACCTCTCTAAACCTCAGTTCCCTCATCTATAAAATTAAGATGGTAACACTACTTACTTGAACAGTGGTTGTGCAGATTAAATTGATAATCCATGCAAAGAGCTCAGTACAGAGACTGGCACATCCAAGGTCTCAGTCAGCCTTAGGTGGTGGTATTATTATTATTCATGTCGGAATCTCTCCCTCCCTGGACTAATATTTTCAGATCTCTCTCTTACTTGGGAAGCCCATACCCCTTAGACCTCTCCCCACATTATGCGTCTCTCTGCCCTTAGATGTCCCTCATTGTTTCCCAAAAACAGCCTCTCCCCCTGCGTCTCTCATCGATCTGTCCTAGGTGGAACGGGAGGGGATAAGATCCAGAGAAGAGAGAACAGGAATGCTTGGACCTGTCCAGAGAGGATGCGGAAATGTATGGGGGGAGTGGGCTACTCTGCCCTCCCGCCCCTCGTCCCCCAGTGCTGCTCCCACTCGACCGCCAGAGGGCAGCATGTGCACGAAGCCTAAGCTCCTCAGGGACCTAATTTTCCAGCAGGTGGCGAGAGAGGGGAGGAGGTGGGAACAGGTTAGGGACGACGTCCCCAATCTGAGGTCGCTTCTGCACCGTCCAGAAGAGTCACTGGGAGAGCAGTGCCTGACACTTAGGTACCTGGGCTCGGTTTGCCATCCCAAGTAGGGAAGTGACATGTAAAAGGGGCATATGTAAAAACCATATGCTGAGGGAGCAGGGGAAGAAGGGTCGTCTGGAGGACTCGGAAGAGAGGTTGTCAGCAGAGGAGCGAGGGTCAGGGCGGAAGGGATGGAAAAAAGAATAAATGTCTGAGCTGGAGAAACTGGGTCGTGCATAAAATTAGTGGGGACACTGGACCCAGGAAGGTTCTCCAGGGCAGGAAGCCCGTGGACAATGACCCGTCGCCGGGCCCAGCAGTCCCTCTACAGGTCAAGGGCTTCCCTGGATCGAGTGTCTGGACGTGAACACCCCTCCTCTCCTCTTTTCGCCCTAGCCCCTCTCCATTCCTCTCAGCTCCCTCTCCCCGCCTCCGTCCCCGGCCCGCCCTCGTCTCCGCCTCTGGGGCGGGCTCCGGTGCCGGTCGGCACCGCCTCCCAGTCTCCGGGCCGTCCGGGCTGCACAGCCCCGAGACACCCGGGCAACGAGCGCCGCGTCCCCGGCCTGCCCGGCCCGGCCAGGCTCGGGTCCCCGGCTCGGGTCCGCCACCCCGAGCCATGGAGCCGCGGCCCCCGGGGTCCCGCAGGGTAAGCCACCCGGCCCCTCCTCTCTTCCCGGCTCCCCCCGCAGCCGCAGCGTCCCCCAACCCCACCCCATCCCCGCCCGCCCCTGCTGGGCTGGCTACCTCTCCTTTCTCCTGGTCCTCGGGTTATCCAGCCCATCCCCCATAATCGGCGCGGCCCCAACCAATCTCTGGATCCCAGCTGGCGCCCCCAGAGTGCTGCCACCATACTACATACCCTGGCCTCTGCTTTTCAGGTCCTTGGAGGCCCCCACATCTTCAGACTTTACATCAGGTTCTACACCTGCCCTCAATTACCATGTCGCTCAGATCCCTCTTATCCAGCCCTGAAAGTACTGGCTGTATGACGTTAGGCAAATTATGTAGCCACTCTGAACCTCAATTTTACTTTTTTACCAGCTATAAAATAGCATAGTAATAGTACCAATTCACAAGGCTGTTGTGAGAATCATATTATATAACCATAATGCCTAACACAAAGTAAGCATTCAGTGTTAGGTGCTATGATTATTATGTTATTGCTATTATTTTTATATAAGGGAGGATCAAGTAGAAAGGTAGTATGACTAAGACCTCAGTTTGGAAAATAAGCAGAATTAGGCAGCGGGAACAGGAGGAGACTCCAGCAGAGGAAATGGAGGAGCCACTGGAGGGGGTGAGGACAGAACCAGGTTCCTGTAGAGTTGGAGAAGCCAAGGGAGGGAGTGTGGCGGCCTGCATCAATAGTGTCAAATTCTGCAGGGGAACGAGGACTGCAGAAAAGCTGCAGGCAGGCGTTTGGCATTACTGTGCAGCAGTTAAGTACAGGGCTCTGGAGTCAGGCTGCCCAGATCTAAATTCAAATCCCAGTTCAGCCACTTACTAGTTTATGACCTTGGGCAAATTATTTAACCTCTCTAAACCTCAGTTCCCTCATCTATAAAATTAAGATGGTAACACTACTTACTTGAACAGTGGTTGTGCAGATTAAATTGATAATCTATGCAAAGAGCTCAGTACAGAGACTGGCACATCCAAGGTCTCAGTCAGCCTTAGGTGGTGGTATTATTATTATTCATGTCGGAATCTCTCCCTCCCTGGACTAATATTTTCAGATCTCTCTCTTACTTGGGAAGTCCATACCCCTTAGACCTCTCCCCACATTATGCGTCTCTCTGCCCTTAGATGTCCCTCATTGTTTCCCAAAAACAGCCTCTCCCCCTGCGTCTCTCATCGATCTGTCCTAGGTGGAACGGGAGGGGATAAGATCCAGAGAAGAGAGAACAGGAATGCTTGGACCTGTCCAGAGAGGATGCGGAAATGTATGGGGGGAGTGGGCTACTCTGCCCTCCCGCCCCTCGTCCCCCAGTGCTGCTCCCACTCGACCGCCAGAGGGCAGCATGTGCACGAAGCCTAAGCTCCTCAGGGACCTAATTTTCCAGCAGGTGGCGAGAGAGGGGAGGAGGTGGGAACAGGTTAGGGACGACGTCCCCAATCTGAGGTCGCTTCTGCACCGTCCAGAAGAGTCACTGGGAGAGCAGTGCCTGACACTTAGGTACCTGGGCTCGGTTTGCCATCCCAAGTAGGGAAGTGACATGTAAAAGGGGCATATGTAAAAACCATATGCTGAGGGAGCAGGGGAAGAAGGGTCGTCTGGAGGACTCGGAAGAGAGGTTGTCAGCAGAGGAGCGAGGGTCAGGGCGGAAGGGATGGAAAAAAGAATAAATGTCTGAGCTGGAGAAACTGGGTCGTGCATAAAATTAGTGGGGACACTGGACCCAGGAAGGTTCTCCAGGGCAGGAAGCCCGTGGACAATGACCCGTCGCCGGGCCCAGCAGTCCCTCTACAGGTCAAGGGCTTCCCTGGATCGAGTGTCTGGACGTGAACACCCCTCCTCTCCTCTTTTCGCCCTAGCCCCTCTCCATTCCTCTCAGCTCCCTCTCCCCGCCTCCGTCCCCGGCCCGCCCTCGTCTCCGCCTCTGGGGCGGGCTCCGGTGCCGGTCGGCACCGCCTCCCAGTCTCCGGGCCGTCCGGGCTGCACAGCCCCGAGACACCCGGGCAACGAGCGCCGCGTCCCCGGCCTGCCCGGCCCGGCCAGGCTCGGGTCCCCGGCTCGGGTCCGCCACCCCGAGCCATGGAGCCGCGGCCCCCGGGGTCCCGCAGGGTAAGCCACCCGGCCCCTCCTCTCTTCCCGGCTCCCCCCGCAGCCGCAGCGTCCCCCAACCCCACCCCATCCCCGCCCGCCCCTGCTGGGCTGGCTACCTCTCCTTTCTCCTGGTCCTCGGGTTATCCAGCCCATCCCCCATAATCGGCGCGGCCCCAACCAATCTCTGGATCCCAGCTGGCGCCCCCAGAGTGCTGCCACCATACTACATACCCTGGCCTCTGCTTTTCAGGTCCTTGGAGGCCCCCACATCTTCAGACTTTACATCAGGTTCTACACCTGCCCTCAATTACCATGTCGCTCAGATCCCTCTTATCCAGCCCTGACCCCATCCTAGCCTCTCCCCTTCCCAGCATCCCTCCCCCACCTGCTTCCACCTGCTCTTTAGATACTCCTAGCTCGCTCTCTTTCCTATTTCAGTCCTTCCTGTCCCTCAAGTCTTCCCATTCCTGAGATTCCACCTTCCTTCCCTTTTTGCCTTTATTTTGGGTGAGAGGTGTGTGTGTGTGTGTGTGTGTGTGTGTGTGGAGAAGTGGCATGGTCAAACAAGGGGCAGCAATTTCCATCAGATAAAGGGCAATGGAAGGATATGTAATCATAGCTCCCACCTTGTGTTCCTCATCTGGTTTCCCCTTCCCTGCCTCTTGCCCTTCCCGATTTATTTTGCCCCAGCTTCAGGGAACAATTCCCCTTAATGTCTGCTGTTGGAGGGCAGGTGGGAGAGGACTGTTATGTAGACATTTCCAGACAGTGTGTAGGCCAAAATTCCAGGGAAGGGGCTCTGGAGTGAGACAGGCTCTGTGAGATGCTGGCCTCCACCCCTCCCCAGAGAGCCCTCATCTAGGTCACCAGGGCCTCTTGACCTTGGCCTGGAGCAGCACTTCAGTGGTTCACATTCCACCTGCACAGGGATTGGGCCCAAGAGCCCTCACCTTCAGTCTGGTGTCTCCGCAGTTCCTGGAGGACAGGGTGGGAAAGACCCACCTGATTGGGCTGCAGCCCTCTTCTCCACCTACCCTCACGGCTAGTTGGTATTTATGGACTTAAACTTGAGAAGGGGTGTGTGCAAGAGAAAGGCTCTCTGCCTGGAAGAAAGACTCAAGTGGGGCAGGGACCATCCTCTAGGGGTGGATGTTGGGATGGTCAGCTCACCAGACATCCTCAAGGCACTCTGGGGAGCAGGCTGGGGTGGTGTGGTGGGGGGTGAGGCAGAGAGAGAACCACAGGCCTCTGCTTTCCCCTCTCTATCCCTTTCCTTTCTCCCTACAGTCTTTATCAACTTAGGTTTCCTGGCCCAGACTGGGTTTCTGTTTGGGCTGAATTCCATTCCCCACCCAGCATATGAAGAAGCCAAGGGGCTGAGGAGAATTCTGGGGCAGAGATGGGGGTCTCTGGATAGGGGGGCCTGATGCCTGGAGACTGGGAGCTGAGAGCAGTCATCTCCCTGTTCTGATTAAACCTGCCTCCAACTTGGTCTGTCTTTCTTTCTGCTAAACACATCATATATTCACACAGATAAACACACAGCTGAAGATTACACAATCTGACCACTCATGGCATCAGCAAAGCCCCCAACACAGAAATGTTGATACATAAATGATGTACACGCAGCACATGACACTCCTTCACACTCCACCCATGCACACAGATTGATCACAGCCTGCCTAGACACACACAGACACACCCATTCTTCCCCTGTTTGGCTTTTCTTTGAATAAGACCCAGGCTTCCAGGAGGTGAAAAGTGAGCCACAGAGAGGGGCTGCTTCCAGCCAAGGGCAAGCCATGAGATGGACGCTTGTTAGTCAGACCAGTTATCTGAACCTGGTCACAGCCTCTGCCTTCACCACTACCAAATGCAGCAGCCCATTTCATGCTAAAGCTCCTTTCTTGACATTGCCCCCAACTAGCCAGTGAGGCTACTGGGGAGAGCAGAGGAGCCAGACTGTGTAGGCTTTCCAGACTTTCAATCACCTTCTTTATGTGCCCCCCACCCCATTTCATGTTCCTGTTTCTCACCAGTGTCTCACTGGGAGCCATGAAGACCTGGGCACAGGGAGGGGCTCAGCTGAGGAACTAAGGACTCCAAGTCCCCACCTACTATTTTTCACTTGATCCTTCCACCTGGAAGATAAGGCTTTGGCTCTAATTTGGTTCCATTCTTATGAGAGGTCCCAACCATCACCCAGTCCTCAGCCTCAGCTGCATTCCAGCCTTGCCTCTCCCTGGCTGCTTAAGGGCCAGAAGGGAGGACTGTGCAGGGAGTTTTCATGTGTCTAGGTGCCTGGCTTCATCCCCTGATAGCAGAGGGCCTCAGAGAGAAACTCCCATCCTCTCCCCTCCTCATGTGAACTCTTGGCAGAAGACTGCAGACATCTGCTGACCCAGGGTGGGGGCAGACTGTTCCTAATCCCGCCCAGCCCCATTGCCTTGCCCCAGAAGCACTGTGATCCAGGAGAGAGTTGAGATCTCCTGGCTGCCTCTGGCCAGCCCAGCTTCTTAGGTTCCCCTCACTTACTCCCTAGTATTTGCTAGAGCCATCTACTCCCTCCTAAGTTCTTGTAGTGCCTTTAGAAGCAGCTGCCTTAAAGAGGTCCAGGGAGAGCATATGTTTGGGCAACCTGGGGCCCAGAGCTGGGAAACTGGGAACATCTGTCTCCTGGGACCAGAAGCTTGGCTTGGTAGACAGTCTTGCCCCAGAGTGGGGGCTAAAAGGGTTCAGAGGCCTCTGCTGAAGGCCCTAGGATCTAGAGTACCTTTTGCCTTCCTGTCAGTGGGCCTCTGGTGGGTTGGCCTGGCTGTTAGAAAATAGGTGAAAGAATTGGATCTTCATGGTGTGATGGACTGAGACAGCAGTCCGGATTCAATTTCCAGCTCTTCTATTAACTCATGGTGTGATCTTGGGCAAACCATTTCTACTTTCTGTCAATTGGGAACATTGGGCCAGTGGATCCCTCAGGTCCCTCCCAGTGCTGTTAAGATTGGACTGCAAGGGAATCAGGCAACTGAAGCCCAGAGCCCACAGGTACACTGTGGGGTAGGGAAGAGGCTCTGGGGACTTTGGTTGAACCCAGCTGCTGCCAGTGCGGGGGTGATGGACATGAACCTGTGCTGGGGTTCCTGGCTCACCCCAGCCTGCCTCCACAGATGGACCCTGTGCAGAAGGCTGTGCTCTCCCACACTTTTGGGGGACCCTTGCTCAAGACCAAGCGGCCTATCATTTCCTGTAACGTCTGTCAGATCCGCTTCAATTCTCAGGTAAGAAGCCCAGCCACTCACCCCCCAAAGGGGCAGCCAGAGAATCTTGGGGGAGGGCAGAGCCTGGGAGCTCTGGTGAGGGGCAGGGATTAGGGGATGCAGGGGGAAGAGCAGAGAAAGGGGATGCTGCAGGAGGGTCAGGGGCTGGTGAAAGGCACTTGAGAGGGACAAGAGGTGGCTGTGTATTTTGACATAAAGTAGACCAGTCCTCTAAGGCTGACCCCTCCCTCTCTTGGGGACTGAGGCATCCCTGTCTCAGAACTTCTCGAACACAGGTGGCCATCAGTGTCCTGGTAGGAGTGTGGCCACTGTCTCATCTGTCCTCGGGGGTGGGACCAAGTTAGGTCATTGGCTCCCACACAGAGCCTGTGCCCTCCTTGGCCTCCGCAAAACTCCTCCCCTGGCCCACCGGCTTCCCTCTAACCTCCTGGGTTCCCCCTCTCTCCTCCATTCCTCCAAATCACACATAAGTCCTACCCCCCACTCTCCTCCCATAGGACTTTCCCATGGGGAAAAGCCACCCAAAATTCAGAGCCTAGGTGTTTGGTCACCCAGATTTCCTCCCTCTGAAGCTCCCTTGGGACATCTGCAGGGTCTAGAGCAGACTTTATGGAAGGGCTCTGTGGAATGCAGGTTCTAAGAGCTTTTAGAGGAAAATAGCAGAGTCTCATTCTGCTGAGTAGGGGAAAATAAAGCACACTCTGCTTCTCTACCCAGTCCACATGCACACACACCATACTGCCAAGCTCTGCACACCACAGCCCCGCCCCTGGGCTGTCAATCTTTTTTCCTGACTGTCCACAGCTTTTATTTCTATTCTACCCCTGTCTGGGGTGACCTTGTGGCTCTAGGATTGTATGTTCTTAGCAGGGCATGCACATGGGGTGGGGAGGAACCTGGACCAATCCAGCTTTTGGCCTCCCCTCTACCTCAACCCCAGGCATCCCCTCTCACAACCCTGGCTCCGCACTGGTGGAGGGTGGAAGACTGGAGGGGCAGAGGGCCAATAGTAGGCAGCCCTCCCCTATTTTTGCCCTCCCCTTCCCTCCCCAACCAAGTGGCTCTGTTTTGACAGCTGTCTCTGCCGCTCTCTCTGTCTCAAGAACTGGGCATGGGGCCAGGGTCCTCCAGGGTCTCCACAGAGGCTTCAGGGAAAATGAGACCCAGGGGGAGTTATCACGGTAGAACCAAAGCCTCAGAGTTCCTGGGAGTCACAGCTGAAGAGCAGAGGCAGTAAAGGCTAGATCCTGGGGCCAGGGAACACAGACAGTAAAGCCAAGGTCTAAGGTAATGCTGATTGGCTGGATGGCTAGGCCCCTCCCATTTGAGGTTCTACTCTCCCTTTGGGGTAACCCTCCCTTACCCAGAGACTAGGTGAAAACTGAGTCAACAGCCAGGCCCTGGGTGTGGTGGTAGGGTGGAGCCCGGGCTAGGTGGGATCCACATTGCCAGCAACTCAAGCTTATTCGCAAGCTAGTCTGAACCCCAGGAATAACCAGGGCTCCTTGGCATGGGGTTCTGCATCTCATGGGTGTAGGAAGAGAGTCACAGCAGCTTGCTAAGACCCCCTCTCCCCGCCCCCGCTGCCTTTCACAAGACCTCAAGGAGCTCTGCAGGGAGAATGGTCAGATGAAAGATGATCTCAGATTCCATTTTCTTCCTCCATTCCTAAAGAGCCAGGCTGAGGCGCACTACAAGGGTAATCGCCACGCCAGAAGAGTCAAAGGCATCGAGGCTGCCAAGACCAGAGGCAGGGAGCCTGGTGTCCGGGAACCTGGAGACCCAGCACCCCCCAGCAGCACCCCCTCAAATGGTGATGGTGTAGCCCCCCGTCCAGGTGTGTTTGACCCCCCCACATTCTGCAACTGATCTTGTCTCCTCTGTTCTTTCCCTACTTCCCAGAATACTCTGCTTTCATCTCTTTTCCTCAGCACCACCCCACCCCCAACACAAGGTGAGTCCTGGAGCCAAGCACAGTGATAGAAAATTTCCATCTTGTCACCCCCACTCCTGCCCCCGGTTCCTCTTAACAGAGTCCCCAGTATCTGTCCTCTCCACTGCCCAGTGACTCAGAGAGGGGCTAGGGTGGGGCCACCTGGCAAACTTCCTCAAGAAAAAGGGAACCATCAACCAAGGAGAGGCCCCTTCATCTTGAGGAGAGGGGTGGGAGAGGAAATCAGGATATGAGGACCTGTCTACTAGAACTCCCCTTGGGGAGGTCTGAGAACCCAGGATCCCTAGCAACTCCCTGGATGATCTTGGTAGATCTTTTACAACCTCTCTGGGCCAGTTTTCTTCCCTGGGAAATAGGAGAGTGAGACTTTAAGATCTTTGAGGTCTTTTCTGGGTTTACAGAAAGCAACCCTGAGATTCTTTCTCCCTCACGGCTGATGGCTATCCTCAACAATACTCCCAGCCAAGAAACTGGAAAGAAGTATCAAGATAGGAAGATATGAGCCACCCCCACTATGGGGATTACCACATCAGATGTCAATCATGGCCAACTCCAGAGGCCCAACATCCCTAATTTCCCCATTTCCTCAGATAGAGCTGGAGGATGAGTTGAGTTCTGTGCTGTGGCTACTTCTTAGCCTGGTCATCTTGGGTTACTTTAGTAACATCTCTGTTAAATGGGGATGATGAGGATGGTGGTCGCAGTTAACATTTCTTCATTAGCACTGTTCTATGTGCTTTATGCCTATCAGCTCACTTAGTTCCTAGGTTATATCTTTAAGGAAATAAGGATACCTGCTCTATTTTTGTAAACCACAACGTCCTGTCCAGATTGCACTGTGGGGTGTGCTGTCTGGATTGGGATGGAGGTAAAGAATGTCATAAATAGGTAAGAGAAATAAAGGGAGAGATCACAGGATGGACAAGCAAATGGACACTTGTAGGGGTCAGGAGGTCCCCTCCCATCAGCTCCCCATCTCCACTGCCAGCCTCCCCATGACCCGGAAACTGGATCAGCTACTGGAGCAAGAACAGGAGCACTAGAGTTTCTCCTGTACAGAGGCCAGAACCCAGTGCTGAGGCCTGGGGCCTGTGCATGTTTAATCAAGCTATGAATTATAGAGCAGCCCACATTCCTGTTTCTTCCCTCTTCAGTTCTGCTGTTTCTGTTTTCCTTTTGACATGTCTGTCTCTCTCCCGACCTCTCCTCACACTGCCTCTGCCCCTTCTTAGAACTCTTTGGCATGCCTCCCTGGGGACTGGGCAGGACTCTGGGAAGGGGCTGGTTGGGCAGGAATCCCAGGCTGGCTGACAGGCTACTAAGGGGTGAATCTTTGTTCTATACCTCTCCCCCTGGGTAGGCTGACTGCCAGCTTCATCCTGAAAGGGATGCCAGTAGGACTAGACCCCTCAGCCATTCTCAGCTTATGCAGAATGAGCCAGACATTGGAGTCTCACACCCAGCCTTCAGCAGCTGGACCACATCTGGCTCTGGCCCAGGGCATGAGAGCATGCATGTTGTCACAGGGTGGGGACTCCTGGGTCTTTGCCCTCAAGGAAATGGGTCTCTACTACATAAAAAATCCTCCCCAAAAGCCATCTGGGGTGACCCTATGTTTCTCCCCCAACAACAGTTTCCACGGAGAATGGACTGGGTCCAGCCCCAGGATCCCCAGAGAAACAGCCTGGTTCCCCATCCCCTCCCAGCATGCCGGAGACTGGTCAGGGTGCAACCAAGGGTGAAGGGGTGACTCCAGTCCCAGCTTCCCTGCCTGGGGGCAGCAAGGAAGAGGAAGAGAAAGCCAAGCGGTTGCTCTACTGTGCTCTGTGCAAGGTGGCAGTGAACTCCCTGTCCCAGCTTGAGGCACATAATAAAGGTATAGACTCCCCTACCCCCATCCCTGCTGTCCTGCTCTCAGCCCACTCCTGCTTCCTACAGCCTAACTTCCCAGGCTTCCAATATCCTTGGACTCTAAGACCTACCAGCCTATCTCCCTCCCTAATCATCTCCCACATTCCTTGGCCCACTTCCTCAGTTCCTCCTCCACCCTTATTTCATTTACCTCTGGCTTTCCCGACCCACCTTTTGCTTGGGTGAGTTCCTGGAAGCTTGGAAAACTCCCACAGTTGACGCTCCCTCATGTTATAATGGGGAATGTGGGTATTTTCAGCCTAGTAAGCCTGGAGAATTTTTCCTCCACCCCTTACCTCCTGCCCTCTGTGGGCTCCAGGTACTAAGCACAAGACAATTCTGGAGGCCCGAAGTGGGCTGGGCCCCATCAAAGCTTACCCTCGGCTGGGGCCTCCCACACCTGGGGAACCAGATTCCCCTGCCCAGGACAGAACCTTCCACTGTGAGATCTGCAATGTCAAGGTCAACTCGGAGGTCCAACTGAAACAGGTGGGTCCATGGTCCCAGGGATTCTGGGAAGCTCCACCAGCTTTAGGGGGAGGGAGAACAGGGAGCTTGGGTAAGCACTCGTCTTCTAGGTCTTCCCTTGGTGCCAAGAAGGAGCGGGCCCAGGCACTTGTGGGTGTGATTACCAGCGTTATGGCCCTGCCCCCTGGCGGCTACTCCTTTCCCGGTGGCTCACAAGTCCCTGTCCACTTATACCCGCAGCACATTTCAAGCCGGAGGCACCGAGATGGCGTGGCTGGGAAGCCCAACCCTTTATTGAGCCGTCACAAGAAACCTAGGGGCGCTGGGGAGCTGGCGGTGAGGCCTGGGTGCTGGAAAATTCGGCAACTGGGGGACCGGAGCGGGAAGCAGAAGGGGACGCGGGTTGGCTTGGGAGAGGTGGGGTGTGCAGGGCCAACAGAATGACTTCCTCCCCTTTCTCTTTCCCTGCCCTCTCCCCGGTGCAGGGCACGCTGACTTTCTCCAAGGAGCTGCCCAAGTCCCTGGCCGGCGGCCTGCTCCCTAGCCCCCTGGCGGTGGCTGCGGTGATGGCGGCGGCAGCAGGCTCCCCGCTGTCCCTGCGCCCAGCTCCAGCCGCACCTCTACTCCAGGGACCGCCGATCACCCACCCCCTGCTCCACCCCGCTCCCGGGCCCATCCGAACTGCGCACGGACCCATCCTCTTCTCCCCCTACTGACCTGAACACTGAACCCTCGCCCATTCCCCCCCACCCCCACCCTCCAGCCGGGACCCAGGCTTCCGGGCTCCAAGCCCGCCCTTCCTCCCGGCACTCCCTGAATGATCTCTCTCCTTCCCCCTCACCCCGAGGTACGGGGTTCCAGGAAAGGGGAGGGGTAGTGGGGGAGGGGATCTTCAGAAGGGGGGGAACACCCCAGATCTCAGGGAACCCCGCTCCCTGCCCTTCCCTCTCCCCTAGAAAAGGGGGGGCCGTCTCACCCTGGAGCCCCCTTAGAGACACCCCCCCTCCCAAAAGCCATGTGCATCCAGCCCTTCCTCCCAAACCTAGCACAATACGGGGTTCACAAGCCATGGTCGGGGTCCAGGGGGCAGAAATGGATTTTCTTGGCAATAAGCGGACTCTGGGACTCCGGCCCCCTACCCTCAAACTGAAGCGCTTCCGTGAACACCCCGGTCCTCCGCAGCAGAGGCGGAGGCGGGGCCGGGAAGCAGGCGGGATCCTGGGTCCCTCAAAAGCACTTTGGATTTATCGCCTGCAACCTCACTGTGCCCGCCCCGCACTATGCCCCAGCCCCAGGTCTAGCTGGGCCCAACGCAGGGGACAGCACTTGGGGGCATCTCCGGCCCTTGGGTGGGACCAGGTAGATGCCCCTATAGATCCTTCCCTACCTTCTGCCTCCCCAGTCTGGATTCCATTCTTTTCACCAGCACCCATCGCCCAAGGGGTACCGAGGGGGGCAAGGGGTGTCCAGTCTAAGCCCACCCCCGCCTCGCCTTCCGCAAAACTGTGAGCAAAAAGCAATAGAAGCCTCGCCCCCGCCCCTCCCCTTTCTGCAGGATTCGCTAAGTCTGTAGCCTCCCCCATCCCAACTCCTAGACCTCATGGCTCTCCCACCAGACACCTCCACTGCACAACTCGGGCGGGACGTGACCTTCCTCCCAACACACACAACTGTGGTGTCCGTATCGTCAGCCCTTACAGCACCCGCCCCGGGACGGGGACGGGCTCCCAATGGCCTTCCCGGCCCCATCAATTCTTTCTGCTTGACGATGTAGCAACCCCAAGCCACGTCTTTCTCTTTTCCCTCTCCCTGACAATAAAGTCCGGATTCGTTGCCTCCCGTCCCGCAGACTCAGACTCTCAGTCTTTGCCCGTTGTTTGGGAGAATTCCGTCTGGAGACATATCTGTATGGTGAGGGGAACGCGCGTGCAGGAAAGGTGGGGGGCAGAAGAAGGAGGGTGGGAAGAGTCAAGATCCGAGGTTTGTGCAAAGCGAGTAGGGATTCCCCATCCCACTCAACGCCGACTCTCGCCAGTCCAAGTGTAAACTTGGCCTTGGGGAATCATTCGAAGTCCAGTCTCCTCCAGACTTCGCCGCAACTCCACCAGGCGGCGCCAACAACATGAAAAAGGAGTCTTCCTTAGGCTAAGCCGCTCCTGTGGTGTGTCTCACGGTTTGAGAGAGAGAGATTTGGACTGTCTCAGACAAAGGGAAGAACCCAGGCTTTTGCGCCCCTGGTGGGAAACCCTCGCAAGCGACACGCAAAGCACGGGAAGATGTGGGGGCAAGGACTGGGAATCTGAACTCTAGGTTCTACTGGGCTTCATATAGTGACCTTGAGTTAGTCCTTTCCGTCCCTGGACCTCAGTTTCCCCATCTGCAAAATGATCAGGTTTGGGTCTCTTAAAAGTTCATTGAAATTTATTGTATCTAAGACTAAAAACTGGGACTGTGCCATTTACAGATATGCTGGAATACCTTTTCATCTGGTCCCTTAAACTGTCTCTGGGACAGGGAAGCTCTCTGCTCAGCTGCCTCTCACATGATGTAGGGGAAGGGATCTCCTCTCTATCTCCAGAATTCACTTCAATGACATACTCCCTAAGAGCAGCCAGTGACTCTGTGACCCCTGCCCTCTAGCCCTGCTGGGTGACAAGAAGCTCAAACAAAAAAGACCAAACCAAAACCCATCATCTCCATGGTGTCTTCCTGAGTTGCATCTTCTTTGCTCACTTCCTCTTTTCTACCCACTTCCCAGTCTTTTGGAAGAAAGGGGGAAGGAAGGTGAGATGATGACTACTCAACAGGAAGGAGAGGGGAAGAGGGGCCTCCTAGGTTTGTCAATTGTGAAATTGGGGATGGCAGTTCACTGTGGATTCAGAAATGGAACTCAATAAGGAGTTGGAGGTTGTTTTTTGTTTTTTCCAGGTCTGTCTAACTAAAAAACAAAAAAGACAGAGACTGGAGATCCAGAAATCTGAGGGGCAAGAGTGGCCCTAGAGGAGAGTGGGTAGAGAAAAGCACAGGCTAGGTCACATGTGACAAGAAAGATAGGGGGCTGGAAGAAACTAGGAATAAAGGGTTTGGGATGCTAATATGCCCCAGAGATACCTCAAACCTGCTTTAATACTGAATTCATCATTTACCCCTTTTCCTAAGGAAATGTGCTCATCCCACATTCTCTATCATACCAATTCAGAGCACCATAATCCACCAGGAAAACTGAGTGTTATCCTAGTCTTCCCCCTTCCTAACACCTCTTCCAATGAATCACTAAATAAGTCCTATTTGACTCCTTAGTGATTCTGATCATCCACTGTTCTCTATTCCCACAACCACTGCCCTAAGCAGGACTAGCTACATAATTTATGGGTTCCGATGCAAAATGAAAAAGCAGAGCCACTTGTTCAAAAAGGATTTCAGGACAGTGACTACAGAGCATTAAACCAAGCACCAGACCCTTCTAAGTGTGGGGCCCTGTGTGATAACCCAGGTGGCATGCCCATGAAGCCAGCCCTGGTTCTAACTCAGGCCCTGTCAATTTCTTATGTGAACAAGTGCCGCTTTAACAATTCTCTCTCAATTCTGGCCTACTCCTACTTCTGTCTTTCACTCCTACCCACAGCTACCTGAGTGCAAATTTCTCATGGACTTCAGGATAAAACCCCAGCTCCCTAGCATGATACACAAGGCCTTCCTTTATCATGGCTCACCCCTCCAGAATCTTCTCTGTTGCTCCCTACCTCACATTCTTGTTTACCTCTACCAAAACCTCTGATTCTATGCATCCTGTTCCCTTTGCCTAGAATGTCTTTCCTCTTATCTCCCCAACAAAGCCCTATTGATCATTCAAAACTCAGCTCAGGTATCTCTCTGTGAACTCTTTCCTTACCTCCTCCTTAGCAGTTAGCTCCTTTTCTCTTAAGTCTTTGAAATACTTTAAGGGTCAGGAAACACTTTATTAAAAATGTAATCATTTAAAATGTAACCATTTAAAAAGGGAAAAAACATTGTTGGCTCCTGGCCCATACAAAAAGAGAGGTGGTCTAGATTTGGCCCAGAGGCCAAAGTTTGCTGAACCCCGGCTTTAGAGAACCAATTAAGCATTTATATACTTACATATCTGTGTTCTCTGCTAGACTGTGCACAAGCCTATGTATCTACCTTCTTGTACCCCCAGTATCCAGTTCAGGATCTGAAGCATAGTAGGCACTCAGCACATATATGTCAAGTGAACAGATGAATGAATGATTGCCCAGGGGCCTGCACCCTGTGGGGAGGGAAGCCAAAATCCTAGCTGCTTCATTTCTCACCTATCTTCATCTGACTCTTTCCTCAGATGTGCTAGGGTATTACATGGGACCCTCTGACTTGAACCATCTCTGAGTCCCACCAAGAAGGAAGGCAATAACCCAAGGCTTCTTGGGTGCCTAGAGTTGCTCCTGGAACTTGGTCTTGTCCTTTGGCCCCCTAAAAAGTGGCCCAGATATTCTGATGATCCGTTTCCATGTCCCAACACTTCTTGGCAATGATTTTATCATGACCCACCATGCAAAGAAGGGAAGGAAACAGAGCTTGGGTCTCAGAAAAGAGAAAGGAAGGTGTGAGGCAGGTTTGGTGTAACTAGCAGGGAAATTTCAACAGAGAAGCCCAGATTGTACTGGCCAAAACAAAAATGAGTAGGACTGGTGGCGAGGACAAGGGAGGAAGTGGCTAAAGTTGGGCAACTGGAGAATTTCTTATTCTTTTAGTCTAGTATAAAAAGAGACCCAAAGCAGGATACCTCCTACTTGAAGCCTGACTGCCCATCAGAAAGAACTACTCTTTCAGTGGGTTGGACTTCTTCCACTGGAGGGAGAATTGAAGGCTGGGAGACTTGGGTGAGTACTTTTGTGGTAGATTTACTTTCTCTGTCTCCTCTTCTCCCAGGTGGTTAAAACAGGTTTGTATATGTGCATAATGGAGAGGTGCAGAAGGGACTACAGGGGCATCCTGCATACAGAGAGGAGAATCCTGGGTGACCTTAAGGGGATGGAAGGAATTGGAAGGATTGCGGGGCACTGAGGTTGCTGAGAGTATCTGGATGGATACTGAGGAGGCCTGGAGTCTGGTGTGGACAGAGACTAGGAGATACTTAGATAAGCATTTGGGAAATCTTTGAGAATGGGAAAGGACTAAAAGAGCCTAAGGAGAATGTTGGGGATCTTGTGATAAAGAGGCTTGGAATGGTTTGGGAGTCTGGTGAGCTCCCAGAGCAGTTCAGGTGTCTGAGGCCCAGAGCTGTTCAGGTCTAAGTTCCAGGCCAGGTTTCTGACTCCCTGTTCTTCTTCTACTTCTCCCTTTTCAGCTTCCATCATGTGGAACACCAACCTCAACACCAACTTCTCCTGCTACCATGAGTCTGTGCTGGGCTATCGTTACGTTGCAGTTAGCTGGGGGGTGGTGGTGGCTGTGACAGGCACCATAGGCAATGTGCTCACCCTGCTGGCCTTGGCCATCCAGCCCAAGCTCCGTACCCGCTTCAACCTACTCATTGCCAACCTCACAGTGGCCGATCTGCTATACTGCACCCTTCTCCAGCCCTTCTCTGTGGACACCTACCTCCACCTATACTGGCGCACTGGTGCTACTTTCTGCAGGGTCTTTGGGCTCCTCCTCTTTGCATCCAACTCTGTCTCCATCCTCACCCTCTGTCTTATCGCCCTGGGACGCTACCTCCTCATTGCTCATCCCAAGCTCTTTCCTCAAGTTTTCAGTGCCAGAGGAATAGTGCTGGCACTGGTGGGTACATGGGTGCTGGCTGTGGCCAGCTTCGCCCCTCTCTGGCCTATCTATATCTTGGTGCCCATAGTCTGCACCTGCAGCTTTGACCGAATCCAAGGCCGGCCCTACACCACCATCCTCATGGGCATCTACTTTGTGCTTGGGCTCAGCAGTGTCAGCATCTTCTATTGCCTAATCCACCGCCAGGTGAAGCGAGCAGCACGGGCACTGGATCAGTACAAGCTGCACCAAGCAAGCATCCACTCCAACCACGTGGCTGGGACAAATGAGTCCATACCTGGTCATTTCCAGGAGCTGGACAGCAGCAGGTTGGCATCAGGAGAGACCAGCGAGGGGATTTCATCTGAGCCAGTCAGTACTGCTACCACGCAGACCCCGGAAAGGGACTCATCAGAAGTGAGGGACCAGCACAGCAATAAGGTAGCTAAGCAGATGACAGAGAAACACCTTCCAGAAGCACCTGCCAGAACCAGGGCAACTAAAGCAGGCCAAAGCGCTCAGGAGTCTCCATCAGAGTTTAGGAAGGTGACTCGGATGTGTTTTGCTGTGTTCCTTTGCTTTGCTCTGAGCTACATCCCCTTCTTGCTGCTCAATATACTGGATGCCAAGGTCCAGGCTCCCCGGGTTGTCCACATGCTTGCTGCCAACTTCACCTGGCTCAATGGTTGCATCAATCCTGTGCTGTATGCAGCCATGAACCGCCAGTTCCGCCAAGCCTATGGCTCCCTCCTAAAACGAGGACCCCAGAGTTTCCGTAGGCTCCACTAGAACTATGTTCCCAGACACCAGAATCCAGGACTGTCCCTTCCAGAACTAAAGTAACCAGCTGGTATGGAAGTAGATGAGAGAAATACTTGTGGGTATTTTCACAGACAACCTTCCTCCACCCTCAAACAAGACCTCTCTATCCCTGATCAATGTTTCAGCCCTAGGCTGCCCAAGGTACATTATTAATTATTAATAAATGAATTCTATCCCTTTAAGGCTCAGCTATGGTCTTTGAAGAAGGAAATAGGCCAGAGTTGATGTACAGCTGGAACATAATAGTTGAAGGTTCTGGGAGACCTAGGTCAGAACAGTGGCAAGAGGAAGCAGTCTACCAGGGACATAGCCTTCTGCTGGGGGGCTTCCAGCTATAAAACATTTGAGTTGGTTTAAGAGGAGCAACCTCTTTTTTTTGGTTGAACTTCCCAGAAATGTCCCCTGCCCCTGACTACTTCTGCCAGGATCTTCCATTCCCACAAACAGATTTATTCAGCTCAAATACGTTTTGTAATCCAGCTTTGATAACCACTCCAGTGAGCCAGCCAGCTCCCTGGCCCTTGCCCTATCTTAAGAGAATTGCCAAGGAGGACTCCTTACTCTGCGTAAACTGAACTGAGCTTAACTGAGGCAATGGTAGACAGGGGTTCCGGCTGCCCTCAAAGAGTCACACTGGTCAGAGGTAACATACCTAGGTCCTGGTCCTTCACTTCCTCCAGATTTGCTCTTGTCATCCAGGCTTATGAGAACAAAACAGAGATTCTAGTTAAGAGGGTTAAGGGGCCAGGCTGAGGGGAGATCATACCATTCCCCTCTTCCAGCATGACGAAGAGCCTATCATCCATGTGCTTGTATACACAGGATAAAGTACCTGTGGCCACCAGGTGACGCTGGTTCTCTGTGTTTCCTTTCTGGCTTTCTTGTTGAGGACAGAAGGTGTCAAAGGGGCTGGGAGTCCGGAGACCACCCCCTTCCCTGCCAGGGAGCAGGGGTGGAGATCCAGGGGTCTGCACCTCTCCCTTTTCACCAAAGCTTAGGAAGAAAAGTGAAGAAGTAGACATGTATTATTCATGGGATACTTATTTTCTACTTGGTTGAGGTGGGGGGAGCAGGATGGACACTGTGCTGGTACTGAGGATGGAATGTGAGACATATTTACAGTAACGCTGCTCTGTCTGCAAGCTGTCCTCTCCCTCCTCCCAAGTCCATGGTTTACGAGAACATAGTGAAGATCAGAGAGATTAGACAAAAAAGGGCAGAAAGAATCCTAGTTCGGGTTGGACAGATCAATATCTTCACGTTCAACATATTTTCAGGACCTAGAAATCCTGCCTCCTAATCTGGAACATGTGCTTCTGAGTGTCCTCCTTCCATAAAATTGCAGCAGCCTAAACTGAGTCAAGTTCAGGCAACTGAGGCATGGGGCCAGCCAGGTGAACAGCCAGACCAATAAAGAGCAGCAAGACCAATAAAAAACATCAGCCTGGGAATATACAGACCAGGGGTCCAGTCAAGGCTCTCTGATCATTAGCTCTGTGAACTTGAGCAGTACCCCAGACCATTCTTGGCCAGGTTATATCATTTGTACAAAGATCGGGGCCAGGTACATAATTCCTTGTGTCTAGGGCTGTCCTAAATGCTGTAAATATATTATTTCATGTAATCCTCACAAAATTTACCATGAGATAGCTATTGTAATCTTTCTTACACATGAGAAAGTTGAAGTGCAAATAGGTTAAACAGTTTTCCAAAGCTAAAAGGTAAGTAGTGTGACCGTGATTTGAGGGCAGAGAGTCTGACTTCAGCCCATATGTCTAACCACTACAGGACAGTTGCTTTTCTAAAACTAGGATCAATTGACCAGATGATCCCTAAAACTCCTTCCTCCTCAGACCTTCTAAGGAAGTTGACAATTCTCTGAAGCGTTCTAATAGAGTTCACTTTTCATAATCCTTGAAAGACATTTAAAAGCTTTGGCAAGCAGAAAGGAGCAGCAGTAAAGATTGAGGTTAGATCTCAGGAAGGACTTCCCAATGGCTGGAAAAAATGACTCAGGGGACACAGGAGGAAACCCTGGAGTCTGAGTCCAGAGGACAGATCTTAGCAGGAAAGGAACCTCCTCCTCTCTCACCCTCCACGGCCCACACACCCACCCTTGCCCCTAATTTCAATCTGAACTGGGCTGAGAGGTGGAAGAAAAGTAAGATTCTCAGGCTCTCTCCTGTGGGTGTGCATGGCGCGCGTGTATCCACGCACGAGGTACCTCATAGTGCGGAGCTCACGTGTGTCTCGGGAAAGTGTGTATGTGCATTTGGGGGTCCTCATGAGTGTGTCAGTGTCTGTCTTTGTCTCTATCTCTGTCAGTCTCCCGCCCGAGCCGAGCTCTATCGCTGACTTTCTGAAGCTCTCTCTCACGGCTTCTCTTTGTCTCTCTCCATCTGTCCGTCTCTGCTGGAGGCTGTCTTCATTTCTAGTACCTCTGTTATCGCCTTTTTTCTCCTAAACTCGTTCTTCCCCGGCTTCTCCCCCTCCCGCGTCTCCTCCCCAGTCCCCCGCCCAAGCCGCTCTCGCTCGCTTGCACTCTCTCTCTCTTTCGCTGTCTCTTACAGGCAGATTTATGGTCAGCCCAGGGTCTTTCATTGGCCAAGCACTGACAGGACTTGATTTAACGTCCCCTCTTACTGGCTAAGCTTGACAGGCCGATTTACGAGTCACCCTGCTATTGGCCAAACCTCCACGGCCCTGATTTATGGCTCAGTGGCTGCTGGTAAGGAGGCGCAGCTGGGGTGAGAGGATGCCCCTCCCCTCGCCGCCGCTTCCGCCTCCCTCTCCCCAGCTTTTTCTCCTCTTTCTCTCCCTGCCTTAAAGGAGCCGCACTCCCTCTACCTGTCTCTCAAGCCGCCTCCTCCCTTCTCTTATACCCATAGGGAGGGGGAAGTGGGGCGTAGCGGTGGTAGGAACTGAAACAGACGCCGGGGTCTGGAGGGGTAAAGACGAGCAGAGGAATCTGAGGGGTGTCGGGTAGAGCAGGGAGACAAGAGAGGATTGAAGAGGAGGAGAGGTTTCTGAACTGACGAGCGAAAGGGAAACGGGCGGGGGTTGCGGGCAAAAGGGGAGACAAAAAAAAAGGAAGGCTGAGGAGAAAAGAAAAACTCGGGGGGCGGGGCTGAGGAGAAAAAGGGAGACTTTTGTGAAACGGCGCATTTGAAGGAGCCACTGAGCTGAAGCAGGGTTATTCTGGAACTAAGAGACTTTTCTTTTTCAAATCGTACTATCCAGACTGAGTAAGAGACGGAAATTTCCTCTTCACGCAATGGCTCTAAAAGGGGAGAGATTTAGAGGAGCAGTCAGAGAAAGGCGCAATAGAGGGATGAGAGAAGAGCGGGAAAGGAAAACCGAAAGGTAATTAGAGGGAGGATGGTGACCTAACGGAGAAGACATAGCTAACGTTGGTTTTTAGTTTTGTGTTTGGGGAGGTGTAGTGAGAAAAGGCGAATCCTCAGAGGAACGATTGAGAGAAACAACTCCTATTCTTCCTCTCGATGAAGACCCATAGGCGTCCGCTTGGGGGCGTCTCCCCCAAGAGGTGTTCTACTTCCTCAAGGCTGTAGTAGGCTCCCCTCTCCCTACACCCCACTCCTCCCCCTTGCCCACCTCCCCAGTTAAATTTATGAGTTCAGGGCTGGCCTTCAGGAATTAGGAATATTTATGCTTCTTTGAGAGTGAGGTTTGGAAGGTGATAAATAAGGGGCCATGGAGGGTGGGTTCTTGGAGCTCCTATTTTTAGCGTGGCCACTTTCCCAAAGCCCCCACCCACCAATTTCCTCTCATCCTGAGCCAGAAAAGGGAGCACTAGGGAGGTGGGGAATGAGTTTCAGGTATCAGGAAGGGGGGTTGACTATCCTGGAAAGCCCCTCAGAGGACTGCAGATCTTTGCAGCAGAAAGGATTGAAGGCAGATGGGGGAGGAACTTTCCAAGCATCCTGGTGTTCTTATAGCCCCTGGAGTGCAGTTACAGCACTTCTGCAGAAGATGGAAAGAAATGGGGAGAAGCCAGTCCCCCTCCGCCACACACCCCCATTAAGCCCAGTTGCTGAGGAATAGGGGAGATGAGCCAGGAAATTCAGAGGCAGATTTTTCTGCCTTGTCACCTCCCTCATAGGGAGAGGAAGATTTGAAATTCCCCACCCCTCAGAGACCACAGCCTGGGTGCCTGGGAAAGGAGGCTCTAGGAATGTGGGGCTCAGGGTATCTCCTGGGAGTCTCAGCCCCCAACCTATCCCCCACCTTCTGCTCGCTGAAATTTAGAAACAGCCAGTAGTTCTTGATACACCTTGCCCTGGCCTCTCAGAAAATAAGAAAGAGATCTGACCTGTGGAACCATATGCCTTCTCCAGCCCTCAGCTCCAGGTACCATGTGTCTGTGACCCCCCCAGCTCAGTCAAAGGGCTTGCTCTGGGCTTGGGTAGGTAGTAAACAAAGATGGGGTCCGAAGAGAACAGAGAAAGCTGGAGAAGAGTTGCTCCCTTCCCTACACACCACACCCTCCCTCTACTGTGGCCTTAGCAAGGATGGCCACAGTGCATGTGCATGCCCACACACACATATGCACACCAGACTGTGCTGCCTGGAGTGGGAGAAGGGAGGAAAAGAAGGGCCTAGACTGGCCCTTTAAGAGCTCCTTAGGGTCAGAAAGCCTGGGCTACAGAAAGGGGAAGGAGCTGATGTCAGAAGACGGATGGGCAGCAAGATGGGGATTGATGCTAATGGGGGAGTTAAAGCTAAGTACCCAGACACTCAGAGGGCAGAACTGCAGATCTGTCTTCCGTATGCTTACCGCCCCCCTCCCCAAACCAAGGCTGTAAATCTGCCTTCTCAACTGGGGGAAGGGAGAGTGAGGAAAACTGAGATGCTCTCTTCTCCCTCTTCCTGTTTCTTCCCTACCCTGCACTCCCCACTCCCAATTCTTTTGTCCTCCACCAATCTCTCCTCCCAAACCCCTCCCCACTAAAATGTCTGATCTGGGGCTTTTCATAAGGAATTGAGGGAATTGCTTCAACTTATGAAAGAGTTTCAACTACAAGAAAGTCTCCCCAGCACAGCCCAGGTGGGAATGAGTTGGGGGATTGTCGTGAGAGACTGGTAGGCTGGAAGCTCACAGTTGCCTCAGTTTCTCTTCCCTCCACCTCTTCTCACTTGGGAGGTAACTCTAGCGGCCTTCTCCAGGGTTGGTAGGGTGACGGCAGGAAGCAGGATTTGGATGCCAGGGGCCAAAAGGGGTCCAAGAGCTTCAAAGTTGGATTTGTGGAGGCCTCTGACACATTGAGTGAGCTGCCGGAGGGGTTAGTGGGCCTCCAAGGGCAGCTAGGGAAGCTGTAGGAGCCGTCCACTGAAAGATATATGATCAGCTTCTCGGAAACTCCTGGATCATACATTCCCTCTTCTTGAGCACACACCCTGCCTGCTGAGCAGAGACAATTTCAGGCCAACAGTCTATTTACTGTAAAGGCAGGGGCCAGGGGCTCATACCTCTCAGGAGGTAGTTGGGGATCTCAGGGAAGAAGGCCTCAGAGGGGCTGCAGCTAGTAGCCCTTTGTTTACTTTCAGATGGGGCTGTATTCTCATCTTTGGGACCCATAATCACCTTTATCTCCCTCTCTATTGGCAATCAGGGCCCTCTCCATGTCATCTATTGCAGTGTTAAACCTTAACACTGGAAACAATTGGTGCCTGATTGCTCCCTGGTTTCCAAATCCCCCTCAGTATCCATAAAAGAAACTCTCGGATATCAACCTCCTCTCTTGCCTCCTCCCAGGTTTTTCCTTCAAGGCCTAAAATCACCTTGAGGCCATCGTCTCTCTGTTTCTTAAGTTTTCAGGGACATGGAGAGAGCAAGGTTGGAATGGAAATGGTGGGAGTTGTGAGCAGGGGCCGTTGGAACCCAGGTTTCTAGCCCCTGAGCATCTGGCCGAGCACTCCCTCCCATCACAGGGAGGTCAGCCACTGCCCTCAGCCCTGGTCTCTGGCTGCTTCTCTACCCTGGTGATAAATCCTGTCTTTGTCTCCTCTCCAACCTGGGCCCCAGGCAAAAGCAGGGGTGGGTCAGAGACTGGGGGAGGGGTCAGTGTGGAGGAGGGAGACATACAAGGAGTGGGAGAAGATGGACAGGAGCAGCTGGTGAGCAGGCATGGGAGGTGGGCAGTGAGGGGCCAGGGCCTCTTAACTCTACAGACCCTGACTGCACATTCCAGTAGGCCTGCATTCCAAATGAGAAAGCCAGGATTCCTGAGATGTGGAAATTCCTTGGGAACGGCCCCTGGAGCATCAGGAATACTGGGAGATGGGGGATTTGTGGAGTGTCTCAAGGAAGGAGACTGCTTGAAGAAATGGGAGAATAAGAATATTGTGGAAATCATCCTTATCCCCACCACAAACTCCTACACAAGTGTGCCGTGCATGCACACACATCAGACAGACAGACACAAGATTTATGGCCCATCAGCATGAGGGAGCCCAGGAGAGGCAGCCTACCCCTTGACTGGCCCCTCCCCAGCTACCTTCTCTTGCTGTGACTTTCCAGTCTCCATCTCTTTTTTTCTGTTGCCAGTCCTAAGGCTTTTTGTGTCAGTTTCTCTCTCTCTCCAGGTTTGTTATGCTATTTCTCTGCTAATTCTCAGCCTCTGCCTCTTGTCTCACAGTCACTTTTTCTCTCTCATTGTGCTTCTCGAGATTTTCATCTTCCTGTGCACTCCCTATCTGCCCTGCCCCTGTACCTCACTGCCACCCCAGAGTCCTCAGAGGAATGGGAAAAGAGAAAAGAGGCTATGAATGGAGTCCCTGCTTTGGTGGGAGGTCTGCAATATTATTGTGTTACTGATATGGGATGGAAGGGAGGATGGGAGGCCAGGTGACCAGCACAGCAGCTCAGCTGAGGGAGGAGGGGTGAGACAAGAAGGGAGAGATTGACAGAGAAAAGACACTAAAGAGAGGATAGTAAAGACTAAGGGTTCCCTTTAGTGTATTTTGGGTCAGTTTGAAGTGGAGGAGCTGAGAGGCGTGTACTGAGTCAGCTGAAACAGAGATCAGACACAAGATCTGGAGACCCAACCAGACACAAAGATGTCCAGCAGGAAGCCATAATTCTGGGCTCTGTCGCCTACCTGGGAAGGTCTTACAGACCTCTCTCTTTCCTCTGCATATGGTCTTGAAGTACTGTTTCCCTCCCCATTCACCTCCTCCCCTACTACTTCCCCTCCCCACCAGTGAGAATGACATCAGCTCTGACTGCCACTGTGCTCAGCCCTGATGACGAACTCTCCCATGGGGGAAACAGGCCAGTCACCTCTGCCCCGCCCATTCATTCTCCAGTCCAGGGGCTGGGGTTTACACAAGCCAGCACCCCAAGGTGGGAGTGGGAAGAAGCTGTACCAAGAAGCCATCTGCAGGACATGGTGGAAAAAGGGGGTGGTGTGGGCAGGGGTGGGAGGGGAATGGGCAGTAGGGGGAAGAGAGGAGCTGGGGGGGGGCACTTGAAGAAGAGGGGTTGCAGCATTAAATCACCCTGTGGGGGGCTCTCTCTGCCTGAGCTCAGAGGGGTGGGGAAAGGATAGACACTTGGGGAGGGGGAGAGAAGAATGGGGAATGGCCACATCTGGCAGACAGGTGTCTGGCACTATTCAGGCTGCAGTCACTTTCCCAGCCAAAGGGGAGGGAGGGGGAGGAGGGAGTAGGGGCTTCCCAGGGTTCCCTGGGGAAGAAGGAAAGGCTTACAAACAGAGATACAGAGGCCCAGAATCAGAGACCAACGGAGGGAGATAATCAGACCCTGCTCCCTAGTCTCCACTTCAGTCAGTGCTGGAGATGGGTTTACTTATAGTGCTGAAAGAAAACTGCTGGCCAGAGGACTGGGTAAGCCAGGAAACCAAAGTTCCATTCCTCATGGTTAACAGAGAAGGCAAGAAAAGTTCAAACCAGGCCAGGCTGGGGAAATAAGCTCAGAGAATTTCAAGTTTGAGAACTGGATAGAACCCCATTCTCCACAGTCACTGACTGGCATGGCCGAACTCTCACCCTCCCATTCCCTAACCACTGCCCGGGTCAGTGCTGGGTGTTGAGTAAGAAGATTAGGGTGATAAAGCTAGACCCTGCTTTTTCTCCAGTTCAGAAGGCAAAAACAAAGATATCTAGCCCTCATCCAGCCCCTGAACCCCAAATTCCAATGCAAGACTACAGGGGTATACACCCAAGCATTTTTCTTTTTCTATCTTCTGAGGAGGATTCCAAGCTCAGGTGTCCCAGAGTTGCTGAGCTTAATTGTCAGGTTCTCATAGAAGCACAGGCAAGATTGGACAACTCTGGGTCTCATATCTTGATGTGGGAAAGATTCTTCTCATTCCTGTTACCTTCCTTCCCTCATCCTTTCCTGAGGTCCTAATGTGGTCTCTCTTAATTCTAGAATTGCTGGCCTTATCTTATGAGCACTAGAGGTGACTAAGGAGACCCTTCAAAATACAGTGCAGAGGAGGGCCCCCCACATTCCCTCCTCCTTAAAATCCTGCAGAGGAAGGGGAAAAGAAAACCAAAGCATTCTCCTGTCGCCGCGGCAACCATAAAACCCCCAGCTAAATCCATCTTGTGAGCTCACCACCCCATTAAGATGCAGGGCCAGGCTCTGCGCCAGCCCAGCCACATTCATTTGTGCGAATAAAGGTGGAGGAGGGGGAGGGAGGCAGGCTCTGGAGGGACGGGGAAATGGCGAGAAGAGGTTATTTACACCACCGTCCTGACCTTCTGGAGCAGCGCTGGCTCCGATAAATAACCCGCTCAGCGCCATTTCAGAGCAGAAGTGGGAGGTGCAGGAAGGGAGCAGGGGCTGGAGGAGAGCCCCCATGCAGGTGCGCGTCTCCGGGTTACTAATGGCCGAGACAGGAGCAGGCAGCTGGCTTTAGCGGGGTAGGGGGAGAACTCAGTTCCCTGGAACTCCCACTGAGAAAATACCATCCCCACCCTACCCCTGGCGCCAATTTCCAGGCGAGGGGACTGAGAGATGCCAAGGAGGCAAACAGTCCTGTAAATTAGGGATGGAGTTGGGGGGGTACTGGGGAGTCTCTGAGGTAGGAGGGAAGAAATATTATAAGATGGGGAGTGATGGGGGGTGTGGGTAGAGGAATAGGAGCAGCTGCCAAAAAAGAGAGGAAGAGGAACAGAAACATCACACAAAGGCAGTTTGGAAAAAGAAATCTGTTTTATTCCTCTTTGCACAGAGCAGTATATGAAGGTGGCTATCTCCTGACTCCATACATCTCTTGACACAAAAATGCCCCTTCAAATAATGCCATTATTGACCCCACTTCAGTCTTAGAGAACTAGCAGTTAGTGGGTGAGGCAGAGCTCTTAAGTTTCAGGAAGGTTTTTTGAGAGATTTTTGTGGCAAGTATTTGGGTCAAGGGGAAAGATTAGACCCAAGAGTACATGTTCCATCCTCCATCCTCCTAGGGAAATCCAAATCCCAAAGGTCTTCTGAGGAAAGACAACCCTCTCAGTGACCTAGGGAGGGGAAGAGCCGAGAACTACATGGATGTAAGGCTGACACGGAGGGAAGACAGGGTTGAGTAGCCAAGACTGTAGACCCAAGGTAGACGAGTGACATGTATGAGGGAGCGATGAAGACTGACAGCCCAGAGGTCTAAGCCATAAATTCCACCCCCTCCCCAGTTCTGAACAGACACTCTTCTTCCCTAGACTAGAATGGAGTTTTAGTTCAGAGACTGGCTTTACTCCAGGGCACAAATAGGACAGGACAGGCCAAGACCCCACAGGTAGTGAAGGTGGAGAGTTAAGGTAGTGGACGAAGAGATGGGTGCTCCCACAATGAACACCCATAGACCACAGCAGTTTTTGAAGCTATAAGCCAGATCAGGGAATAGAATGCAGTTGTGACTGAAATAGAGAATTTTATAAACCCTATCCAGTAACATTTAAATTGCTGCTTCTTTCACTTTATCCCCTACCTGTGAGCTGTTCCCAATCTTTTTTCCAAGGCCAGAGGATGGGATAGTAAGAAGGAATGGGAGAAAATGCTGAGACCTGCAAGTGGGGCTGTGGCTGAGACTGAATATACCTCTCCCAACCCCTAGTCTACAGAAAAGAATTCTCTCTCTCCTCCCCTTGCTGGACATATGGGCTGTTGGGATGAAGGCCTGGATAAAGGCAAAGGGAGAAAAACACTCAGCACATTCTTTGTCCTGCTTTGATATGAAGTACAGCTGCAGCAAAGGGCACAAACGTTAAGGAGACAATATGGGGGAAAGGAGAGCATGAGATCATAACCCAGTCTAGAAAGGAAAAGGGTGCTTCTAGAAAGGAAGAGGGTGCTTCCCCCACCCTGCATCCAAATCTGCCAGGAGTTTTACTCCCAGAACTTCAAAAAAGAGTGAGAAGGACAGGTAAGCGTATAGGGGGATGGTGGGGGCAACCACAGACAGGATGGAGATTTAAGGATCTCTTGTGATCCCCAAGATGACCCTGAGAGCATCAGTTGGGGGACTGGATGAGAAGACACAGCAGACATGTGGATTTTCTGAGGGGATGAGGAGCCAAGAATGGGAGGGTCTTCACCGAAGGAGTGACCACTTGATCTGTTCTTTGGCTGACTGCAGCACCTGCAGGGACAAGGGCAGCATTGAGGGGCTTGATGAAGGGCAGGACAGGGATGGGGACAGGGGCTCTCCTTCCCCTCACTTGCCTTCCCTGTCCTTAGAAGAATGGCAAATAGGAAATCCCCAAGGATAGAGGGATGGGAAGAAGCTCTCTAAGACCCTAGAGGATTGTCAGTTTGGGAAATTCCAAAAAAATTCAAATCCACTGGGGGGATGAAGAGAGAAGAGGTATACCTGGGAGGAAAGAAAAAAACTGGGAGTTACTAGACATATGATAAAAAAGGGGGGAGGGATTTACCACATCCAGATGGACTTCTTGGTAAGAATTCGAATGGTTAGAAAACAGAATTCCTCCCTTGCCCCCGCATCAGGTAGACAATCTATCTGCAAAGTAGCAGGATGGATCTGTAAAACCGGCACATTGTATAAATGCATTCCAGCTTAGCCCTCATTTGAATAATAAGAGAAAAAGAGAGAGTGTGTGTTCACGCACACAGACCATCTGCTTAAGGCAAGCCTCTGCTAGGGAATAAATCACTGAATGAGGCACCAGGAAGGGAGGGTTTTAAGGGTATAGAGCAGGGCTGACAGCCATTGCTCACAGAAAACTGGGATAGGAGCTGGGGCGGGGCAGGGGGCATTTGGTTGTATGAATCCCAGTTCTCTAGAATTAAGAGGGGGCCAAGGAAGATGTGTCCTCAGTCTAGTCTCATGCAGACTTGGTGGGTAGGGGTGGAATGCTCTTCTAGCCTCTTTAGTGACCCAGTTCATCTGGAGAAGAAGGAAGTCATACCTGAGACACAGTCTGCTCCGTAAGGGGAACATCTTCACCCTGTGGCACAGAAAGACAAGCATTCAGCGAAGGAGAAAGTTGGAATAAAACCTGAAGTTTGGTATTGGAGAAGAAAGAGATGGTCCTTAAACTGAAGCCAAGGGCAGATGCCCTAAACTTCTCAGTCCCTTCCAGGGACTAGTACAGTCACAGTTTTACTTGACCAGAAGGACTGTGAGCAAAAAAGGGTCATTTTATCCACCCTCTGTTTTAAGGAAGGAGGACTTTTTAAAAGATGTATTAATCCCAACTGATCAGCAGGTTATCTGATCTTCAACTTGGGGGTGGGAGACCTGATTCCCTAGTCAGAGAAGATCTCCACTGAATATCAATATCACTAGGGAAAGGATGAGGGGGAGCCAGGGGTAGTTTAATGGATCCCGCAAGGCCTGATGGGTAATGACAGCATGTTAATTTCAAGAAATAAACTGCTGCAACAGCAGCCTGAGAAAGGGAAGGAGGGAGTTGGTGGGGGGGACCCTCTCTCCTGCCACATAGAGACATATGTTACAGGAGAAGATTAAACTATGCAAATTGAGCCCACAGCAGTTAAGGGAGAAGATTTCCCATTACCCAGCACTGTCAGCCTTCACTCTGTGGAGGTCAGAGCTGGGACATTCTGTGAATGGGGAGATTTGCTTTGCTCAGATAGCTCTGCAACCCCACAATTTGCTGGTGGGCTCTTTCTGCATCCACCATTACCTCCCCAACAGACTTGGAGCCTTCTATGGCTAACTTAGAGGCCTCTTTCTGGTATCACTAGCTCCAAGGAAGACTCAGGTTTTAGCAGGTAAGTGCTTCCTGATGGACAAGTGGTGTCCTCAGTTATGTAAGACATTAAAAGACAGGGAAGACACTCCTCTGCCTCAGATGATTGGGATCCATCCCCAAAGGAAAAATAAGCGAATTTCAAGTTCCTTTATAGTTTCAGAACCATTGATATTAAGATTTTTTAAATTTCCTCTTTAATTTAATAAGTGTATATTAAATGTCTACTCTGTGCAAAGACTGTAGGAGATACTAGGTACCAGGCTAGGGACAGAAATATGTTCCTTCCGTTTCCCTTCTTGAGACAATGAGAATTTGAAAGGGAAAGAGAAGGTTGTATGTATTCTACAAGTCCCGACCCTTAACTGCACTTAATAGGTCTGGCCCTGGAGGATGAGTAGATGGGAGCATGTAGGGGAACACACTCCTGCTTACCCTTAATGCCACTCGGTGTACCACTTGCTGGGGATCACTCTCTAGGATCACCCTAAAAAGACAAAGAAGAGATCACCATTCATTCTTCCCTGAAGGACCAACTTACTGTGGGTATACTCTGGTCACTTGGCCTACTTGCGTCAGGACAGGGGCAGTTATCCTATCCCCTCACCAGGAAGATCCAGGCAGGTCAGAGAACTCACCCTCCATCTACGATCTCATCCACAGCCAAGAAGAGCCCTTCCATGTTCTCCAGCAGAGCTCGCTTTTCCACATTTTTCCTGAGTCCCCAAGAGAAGAGAAAAACCAGCCTGTGTGTGAAAGGAACCCTAGGATACTGTCTGACCAATACATTAGACCAATAAATGTCTCTACCAGCCACACAAAGAAGTAGAGAGGTAAATAAGAACTTTTTGGCTAATCCAATCTAAACCTCTTCCTATTCTTACTTGCTGAGTAAGGATCAGGAACATCAGGAAAGAGATTTAAAAAAATCAGTGAATTCAAAGGTTGATTATCCAGAGCTATTGTTTCTCTCCTACCTGTCATGATGCTGCTTTTTACATTGTTCATAAACACTGACATCAGTGTGTGGAAAAAAGGGAATAAACAGAGCTAAAACTCAACCTGGAGGTGGCAGGAGGTGGGAAGGGGTTCAGTACAAACTCTACCTGCACTCAAACTCTGACAAACCTGAGCTTCTTCCCCCTCTAAGTAACATTTAAATTGCTGCTTCTTTCACTTTATCCCCTACCTGTGAGCTGTTCCCAATCTTTTTTCCAAGGCCAGAGGATGGGATAGTAAGAAGGAATGGGAGAAAATGCTGAGACCTGCAAGTGGGGCTGTGGCTGAGACTGAATATACCTCTCCCAACCCCTAGTCTACAGAAAAGAATTCTCTCTCTCCTCCCCTTGCTGGACATATGGGCTGTTGGGATGAAGGCCTGGATAAAGGCAAAGGGAGAAAAACACTCAGCACATTCTTTGTCCTGCTTTGATATGAAGTACAGCTGCAGCAAAGGGCACAAACGTTAAGGAGACAATATGGGGGAAAGGAGAGCATGAGATCATAACCCAGTCTAGAAAGGAAAAGGGTGCTTCTAGAAAGGAAGAGGGTGCTTCCCCCACCCTGCATCCAAATCTGCCAGGAGTTTTACTCCCAGAACTTCAAAAAAGAGAAGGACAGGTAAGCGTATAGGGGGATGGTGGGGGCAACCACAGACAGGATGGAGATTTAAGGATCTCTTGTGATCCCCAAGATGACCCTGAGAGCATCAGTTGGGGGACTGGATGAGAAGACACAGCAGACATGTGGATTTTCTGAGGGGATGAGGAGCCAAGAATGGGAGGGTCTTCACCGAAGGAGTGACCACTTGATCTGTTCTTTGGCTGACTGCAGCACCTGCAGGGACAAGGGCAGCATTGAGGGGCTTGATGAAGGGCAGGACAGGGATGGGGACAGGGGCTCTCCTTCCCCTCACTTGCCTTCCCTGTCCTTAGAAGAATGGCAAATAGGAAATCCCCAAGGATAGAGGGATGGGAAGAAGCTCTCTAAGACCCTAGAGGATTGTCAGTTTGGGAAATTCCAAAAAAATTCAAATCCACTGGGGGGATGAAGAGAGAAGAGGTATACCTGGGAGGAAAGAAAAAAACTGGGAGTTACTAGACATATGATAAAAAAGGGGGGAGGGATTTACCACATCCAGATGGACTTCTTGGTAAGAATTCGAATGGTTAGAAAACAGAATTCCTCCCTTGCCCCCGCATCAGGTAGACAATCTATCTGCAAAGTAGCAGGATGGATCTGTAAAACCGGCACATTGTATAAATGCATTCCAGCTTAGCCCTCATTTGAATAATAAGAGAAAAAGAGAGAGTGTGTGTTCACGCACACAGACCATCTGCTTAAGGCAAGCCTCTGCTAGGGAATAAATCACTGAATGAGGCACCAGGAAGGGAGGGTTTTAAGGGTATAGAGCAGGGCTGACAGCCATTGCTCACAGAAAACTGGGATAGGAGCTGGGGCGGGGCAGGGGGCATTTGGTTGTATGAATCCCAGTTCTCTAGAATTAAGAGGGGGCCAAGGAAGATGTGTCCTCAGTCTAGTCTCATGCAGACTTGGTGGGTAGGGGTGGAATGCTCTTCTAGCCTCTTTAGTGACCCAGTTCATCTGGAGAAGAAGGAAGTCATACCTGAGACACAGTCTGCTCCGTAAGGGGAACATCTTCACCCTGTGGCACAGAAAGACAAGCATTCAGCGAAGGAGAAAGTTGGAATAAAACCTGAAGTTTGGTATTGGAGAAGAAAGAGATGGTCCTTAAACTGAAGCCAAGGGCAGATGCCCTAAACTTCTCAGTCCCTTCCAGGGACTAGTACAGTCACAGTTTTACTTGACCAGAAGGACTGTGAGCAAAAAAGGGTCATTTTATCCACCCTCTGTTTTAAGGAAGGAGGACTTTTTAAAAGATGTATTAATCCCAACTGATCAGCAGGTTATCTGATCTTCAACTTGGGGGTGGGAGACCTGATTCCCTAGTCAGAGAAGATCTCCACTGAATATCAATATCACTAGGGAAAGGATGAGGGGGAGCCAGGGGTAGTTTAATGGATCCCGCAAGGCCTGATGGGTAATGACAGCATGTTAATTTCAAGAAATAAACTGCTGCAACAGCAGCCTGAGAAAGGGAAGGAGGGAGTTGGTGGGGGGGACCCTCTCTCCTGCCACATAGAGACATATGTTACAGGAGAAGATTAAACTATGCAAATTGAGCCCACAGCAGTTAAGGGAGAAGATTTCCCATTACCCAGCACTGTCAGCCTTCACTCTGTGGAGGTCAGAGCTGGGACATTCTGTGAATGGGGAGATTTGCTTTGCTCAGATAGCTCTGCAACCCCACAATTTGCTGGTGGGCTCTTTCTGCATCCACCATTACCTCCCCAACAGACTTGGAGCCTTCTATGGCTAACTTAGAGGCCTCTTTCTGGTATCACTAGCTCCAAGGAAGACTCAGGTTTTAGCAGGTAAGTGCTTCCTGATGGACAAGTGGTGTCCTCAGTTATGTAAGACATTAAAAGACAGGGAAGACACTCCTCTGCCTCAGATGATTGGGATCCATCCCCAAAGGAAAAATAAGCGAATTTCAAGTTCCTTTATAGTTTCAGAACCATTGATATTAAGATTTTTTAAATTTCCTCTTTAATTTAATAAGTGTATATTAAATGTCTACTCTGTGCAAAGACTGTAGGAGATACTAGGTACCAGGCTAGGGACAGAAATATGTTCCTTCCGTTTCCCTTCTTGAGACAATGAGAATTTGAAAGGGAAAGAGAAGGTTGTATGTATTCTACAAGTCCCGACCCTTAACTGCACTTAATAGGTCTGGCCCTGGAGGATGAGTAGATGGGAGCATGTAGGGGAACACACTCCTGCTTACCCTTAATGCCACTCGGTGTACCACTTGCTGGGGATCACTCTCTAGGATCACCCTAAAAAGACAAAGAAGAGATCACCATTCATTCTTCCCTGAAGGACCAACTTACTGTGGGTATACTCTGGTCACTTGGCCTACTTGCGTCAGGACAGGGGCAGTTATCCTATCCCCTCACCAGGAAGATCCAGGCAGGTCAGAGAACTCACCCTCCATCTACGATCTCATCCACAGCCAAGAAGAGCCCTTCCATGTTCTCCAGCAGAGCTCGCTTTTCCACATTTTTCCTGAGTCCCCAAGAGAAGAGAAAAACCAGCCTGTGTGTGAAAGGAACCCTAGGATACTGTCTGACCAATACATTAGACCAATAAATGTCTCTACCAGCCACACAAAGAAGTAGAGAGGTAAATAAGAACTTTTTGGCTAATCCAATCTAAACCTCTTCCTATTCTTACTTGCTGAGTAAGGATCAGGAACATCAGGAAAGAGATTTAAAAAAATCAGTGAATTCAAAGGTTGATTATCCAGAGCTATTGTTTCTCTCCTACCTGTCATGATGCTGCTTTTTTACATTGTTCATAAACACTGACATCAGTGTGTGGAAAAAAGGGAATAAACAGAGCTAAAACTCAACCTGGAGGTGGCAGGAGGTGGGAAGGGGTTCAGTACAAACTCTACCTGCACTCAAACTCTGACAAACCTGAGCTTCTTCCCCCTCTCCTCCCCCTCCCTCACCAGCTGTGCTCAGGCCTTAAAAAGAAGCCCAGCTCGGGGGTTTGGAGTACTCAGAACCCACCTCCACCAGCCTTGGAGACAGTGGGTGGTGCAAGTGGCCAGTCACATCCATCAGTTTGACTCTTTCTCTAGATCACTAAAATGAAATATCTTCATTCAGCTGGCTAAGAAATATATCATCCTGTTTCTGAGGAAATCTGAGCTATTCACCCTGCTGATTTTGTCTGGCTGAGAGCACTTGCTCTTCTGCTCTGGATGGCTGTCTGCACTGGGCTCACTTGGGAGCTACTCAGTGAATGAAGTTCAGAGCCTTGATGTTTTCAGGAAAAGTACCTTATATCTCTTCTACTGCCCATCTATGTGGGATACAGAAGGCTGGTAGGGAGGTAAAAGGAGAGGAGAGAATAAATGTCCCATTCCTCCTGTTCTACAGAAGGGGAAAACTTAGGGCCAGGAGTGAAAAATTAGGAGTGTTGCTTCCATTCCCAACGTACTGATGTTTCATTTGGGACATTCCCTATGCTTGCCTTTTCTCTACCTCTAATGTAAAAAATGCAGCCCAAGAAAGCACCTTGAGGATGCTTCGAACTCTTGACAGAGCCACGAGCCACTGGGGAATGAGAGAGTACACAGAGGTGAGGATTCTGCTCCCTCCCAATCCTGTTTCTTAGAACTATTTCACAGAAAGGACATTCTCTCATTTTAGTCCTCCCCATCAGAATGAATTACTATGAAATAATAAGGCCACTTCTCAAGGTAAATCAACTGCCTAATCCCCCACAAATCCTTGGGCCTTAAGAATTGTGACTTTCTCTCCCACACAGATGTTAAGAATGGACTGCTTACCTCAGCATCTGGCTCAAAGAGTCAAAGAGGCAGTTCAGAACAGCCATGAGCATCAGCTGTTGAGAGATAGAGGCAGCAAAGGATAAAGTTCAAGGCCCTGAAAGCTGCTACTTGAAAACAAAACCCTCTAACTCATTAAGCATCAAAAGACACAGGTTTTCAAAAAAGACCAAAAGCAGAATGTGGAAGTGAGGGCAAAACAGGAAGCAGACCTGTGGTTTCTCACAGAAATAGATTCTGCTCCATGATCTCACAGTTTGAGGTCTTTGTTTGGCAAGACTGTTCAAAGAGAACTTTCCTGTCATAGTCCTCCACATCTTTACCAACTATACTTGATATCTTAGATAGAGAAACCATTAACCAAGCAATAGCTGAAATCATAGAACTAGGGAAAGAGCATGGGGTTTGAGGTCAAATATGGGCTTAAACCCCAGCTGAGCCAAGTCTAGCTATGTGACCCTGGGAAAGTCATTCAGTTAAATCACATGAAACTGCTACTTTTGCAGTATAACAGTGCTCAAACACTAGTAATTTCATATGGTTCCTCATGGTTTGGTTTCCTCATCTATAAAACAAAGGTACTAATGCACATTATAAAGTGTGTAAAGTTTAAATAATAATGTACTTTACAAAGTAATTATAGCAATAAGAGCTCAGTAAGAGTTGGTTCTCTCAAACTTTTACTTGGGCCTCAAATAAGGTGGGAGCTTATTTTTACTTATCTATTCCCCAAGATGGTGCTACCTGAGATAAATAGCTTTTTCTGTGTATAGGAAGCAAGTTAGGATTGTATCTACAGCCTTCTCAAGTGACCCATTCAGAATGTATGGCTTCAGCATGACCCAGAATGTTGGGTAACTGACCCAAACTCAGACAGGCATAGACCCTTCCCAGCAGGAGCAAGCATCACCCACCCCATGCTGACCACAGTTCAGAAATCCACCTTAAAAAACACTATCCAGAGGGAGGGATAAGGGAGGGGAAAAAGAAAGGGGGCCTTACGATTAACATGTATAATGTGGGGCGGGGCACAGGGAGGGATGTACAACACAGAGGAAGACAAGTAGTGATTCTATAGCATCTTACTACGCTGATGGACAGTGACTGTAATGGGGTTTGTGGGGGGGCCTTGGTGAAGGGAGGAGTCTAGTAAACATGATGTTCTTTATGTAATTATAGATTAATAACAAAATGAATAAAAATAATAAATTTAAAAAAAAAACACTATCCAGGGAAGGCCACTGATATGTTAGTATGTATTAAATATGTATGGCATGCCCTACATGGAAATAAAAGAGAAATCAGGCAAAACTTCTACTTGAGGTCGATTCATTTGCTAGGCCATGTTTGTGAGGCTGGCAGAGATCTCTCACAATTTCATTAACCCAGTCAGAAGCCAGAGGGACATGGCACTCCAAAGGCCAAGAACCAGTAACTACATCCTGCCTGTGGTTTAGGAAGTGAGACCAGAGAAAGCCAAGAGGGGTGGGGATTCTCACCTCATTTTCATAGGAGCTGCCAATCACGTAAAAATAAAGATCAATACTGCTTTTGTATACTACTGTCAGGCCTTCCAAAAGGGCGATCTCACCTAGGGGAGAAAAAGGTGGAAACAGTGGGTGGCCTGAGACAAGAAGTAGAATAGGAGTTCCATTCAGTCCAGGTACCCAGCTGTTTGGGGCTGAGGGAAGGTAGGCTGTAATGACTCCCAAAGACCAAAGTCGACCTGATTTTTTTAGGTGGTAGAAGAGGGAGGGAAGTATAAACCTGGGGAAATCTAAATGTATCTTCTCCTCTAACCACCCTCCCCCTCCCACTACCCTTATTTCCCTTCTTGTATATGAGACAGGATACTAGTCGATCCTTCAGAGGTGAAAATGCAGAGCGGTCACCTTTACAGACTTCCATTTACCTGCCCTAATGGATGCGGTACAATAAGCAGAGCTGCAGTTAAATTTGTCAAGTGAGGCTCATAAATCCAGGGACTAGACAGGTAGCTAACAGCCAACCTTCCAGCATGGTATTCCCGCATGAGGTACACTCACCTCCCCATTACATTTCTAAAGAGTTTATTATACAAAAGGAGGAGGGAAAAAAGAGAAAAGGGAGGCAGAGTGATTTTATCCTTTCTCTGCAGTCCTGCTGACACCCTCTTCCCACCATGGTTCCCCCAACACAGGAAGTAGTTGAAAGGAAAATGACCTACTGTCAGTCCGATGGGTCTTGTTGAAAATGTTCTTCTCAAAGGCCTTTTGCTCCTTGACACTGGGGTAGGTGTCGTCATAGTACTGGTCAGAGGGAAAGGAGACCAGAGGGTTGGGTCATTAGGGCTGGGAGCCCAGAATGATCAGTGACTGTGTTTTGCCCTGGATCTTGGATTTCTCTCCTTTAAGGCATGCAGTGAGGGAGAAATATTGACATGAAAAGGAGAACTACAGAGGGAGGGAATGGGCCTGAGTAATAGGGGAAAAAAAAAGTTTAAGGATCCTGCTGTTAAGCAGCCCCACCTCACATTTCTCAGTCTGCATTCCAGGGGAGCAAGTCTGAAATGATTCTCAAGTGCTTCCTAGGAGCTATCCCAGGTTAGGGAGCAGTGCTATAGAACACAAAAGGCACCAGAAACACAGACCACTTCTTTCACACCCTCACTCACTGTATGAAACTGAGGAATGGGGATGCCTGCAGAACCACCTCTGAAGAAAGGCAAAAACCCTAGCCTGTGCTCTCTCCTATCTTAGTTTTGTTTTCTGCAAATGGCAAGAAGCAGGAGGCAATCTAGCACTTTGCTGAGCCTCCTCCCAAGCTCTCCCTGGCACGGGGGCAGAGATGCAGGCTGCTAAATCGCTCTGCTCTTTAGGGGCTAATCCGTCGCAGTCAGCTGAAGACCTATGACAGGTCTGGCATTTAGTAACTGGGTAACTGTTTCAAAAGGTGTCCTGCATAGTTACATCCAATTACAGGGAGGAACAGCTGGTGAATTCTAAACTAATCTCTACCTGCTGATTGATTTATGCTGTGCTCGCCTGGAGTTAATACACTAGGGACAGAAAAATTTCTACAGGAGGGGGGGAAAGAGATGTCCTTCCTCCTCTCTTTCAATAGATCCAAAGTTAGAAACAGCACCCTGGGGAAGTCAGGAGTTATCAAACTCGGTGGTGACTACAGACATAGGGATGGAACCCTGGAACTGCAAGACAATTCCCTGGAAAAGCCCAGGCAGGGTGACAAGATAGAGGGGAAGGGACAGGAGTGATGGGCATGGGCAGGCTGCTTCTCTCATCTAGACACTGCTTTATTCAGAAACCAGAGTTCCAAGGCTTTTCCCTGCTCTGATGCTGATGCTGATAACAAAGGAAGCTGAAGTCTGAGGATGGCAAGTAGAGAAACAGGGCAACTAAGAAACAAAAGCAGTTTAGGTTTTATCTGAAGGAGTCATTAAATGGAAGAATTCTCAAAATTACAATATCAAGAAATATAGTTAATAGGTAGGAATAGTCCCAAGATCCAAATCTCGGAATATGCCTGTGTCTTGCTCCTGAACTAATTAGAAAGGGAATCTCACCTTGGCAAAAAGTCGATCTCCATCGTTGTCCAGAATCAGGATGGCTTTGACAGTATACAGTGAGGGTTCCTGAAGAGATATGAACATACCTTCAGTCCTGAAGGCTCCTGCTACCACTGGCAAACTATGTACCTTTCCCTAGTCCCACTGGGGCTACAGGGGGGGACAGAGAGGTGTATCTGTATGACCCCTATCCCAACCTGATTAGATTTTGACATTTCTTACTGGGAATGACCAAGTTTGAATGAACTGAATTGAGGGAGGGCATTTCATGAAGGACTCCAAAGCAGCAGCAGAGAAACAGTTTTTCTGAACCACACTCTCAGAGGGCTTAATCAAGGTAGGTCATGCTGTTATTTCCAAATATTATGCTAGTTATTTTCCAAATTACCCTACCTCCCTGGTCTCCCATGCACAGGTGTGTATGGAATGTGACCAGATTAATTAATAGGCACTGCACAAAGCTATTTGAAAACAGGCTTGAATGCCCTGGTGTACTTGGAAGTTTCTGCAGTCCCAATGCAGTAGCAATGCAGAGGCATAAAGCAAGCCTTCCCTAAACCACCCACACACTGAGCAGAGGGAAATGAGCACGCATGCGTACACACACACTCACTTAGACACACCAGTTCTAAATGCAGCCCAGTGAGACATCATCTTCCAAGATCTCCTCTATAATCCCAATTCGTCTACTACACTGCCGACTACCACCACTTAATTTGCAAAGACAAAAACCAATCTGAATTTGGGGGGAGTTAAGAAACAGTAAGAAGAGGATCCATCTAAGAAATACTCTGGAGCCTGGAGACAATGAGCAGGAGGGGAGTTTTCTCTCACTACCAAGAACCAAACTTCGAGGATAAAGGCTCTCACAAAGGAATCACGGCTTCAGCCTTAATGCTTGCTCAAACTACTACAAAGCCTATCACTCAGCAAAAGCTCCGCTACTCCTGCAACTTCTAGGAAATCAGTTAACCAGGAGAGGAAGAAGAGGAAGGGAGAGGAGGCAGTGCTTTGTGTATGGAAGATGTTAGCAGACTCACATTCCTTGACTTTCTAATTAGTATTACTTACCATGATATCCCTTCTCTAGGCTATGAGACAAGACTGTTGCTTTGTTACCTCCCTTCTCTGGCTTTAGGAAACCCACAGTCCTCACAGGGGCCAAATATATTCGTCACGCATGTGTTTAACAAAGACCCAAGAGGAAGGAAGAATCACTGCCAAATATCCAGAAACTGCAGTCTCTACAAAGGTAAACTGTCCCATGAGGCTCCAGGAGGTTTATGGTTCCATGTAAAAAAACCAATCGTAGGCTCAGGGAATTAAGAATGAGAGTACAGGGAACCCGGTCTTTTGACAACAGGGTGATGAAGAATGAAAGCTTTCCCCACTTGAATTCTTGAAAATAGCACTTTTGTGTTTTGTTCACTAATATATTCCAAGTGTCCAGAAAAATGCCTGACACATACTAAACTCTCAATATTTGTTAAATGATTATGAGAATAAATGAAGTTTGAGGAAGTAAAAATTTCTTGATGCGGTAAGCATCTGGTGACCCTCTTATAATTAGACTGTCATGTCTAGGTAGATTTTTTTTAAGGTGTCATTGATATACAATCTTATGCTCATGTTTTACATGAGCAACATTGTGGTTACTACATTCCCCCCTATTATCAAGTCCCCACCACATACCTCATTACAGTCACTGTCCATCAACACAGTCTAGGTAGATTTTTGGCTTGGGTATTATTACTACCAACTTCTCTCTTCTCTGATAAATACTCCTTAGAGAAGTTCCTACCCTATCCACACTGCTCTCTGGAATAAATACTCTCTCAAACTAAGGGACTATGTGTCTAGCAGAGAGAAGTCCTCAAGTCTCATCTAAAAGATCAAAAATGGAGATTTCCTACCTGGAGCAGATTTCCTACCTCCTAAACCCATAAGAAAGATCTTCCCAAAAAGGAGGCTCAATTCTATGGCAACTTAGATCCTGAATTCACCAAAAGGGAGACACCAATGGGAATGAGTTTCTTTAACAGAGGGCAAGTCCGCAGAGAAACAACTAAAATAAATAATTTTTCCCACAACCTTTTCCCTGGAACTCTGGCTCTGTTCCTCCATCCACATTTGAAGCAACTTCCAAGAGCTACCTAAAAGTTTAAACCGGGTATCGATGTGGCATAAGTAACTTGTTCTTGCAGCCACAAAGGCAGGCAGGCATCCCTGCAAAGAACGGATCCCAAAGATAAGAAAAATTCCTATGGCCACCAGCCAACTAGGAGAGTCAATGTCCTTTTTAGCCAATGGGTTTGAGTGCCTAAAACAGGTGGCACAGAGAGAAACAGACTCCTAGATTCTATTCCTGGCTCTTTTCACTGGCTTCCTAGAAGATGTTATCAAAGAAACTCCCAAAATAGAAACAGTGGATCTTCCTGAGAAGGATAAAAGACAGGCAAAGGAAAGCAAGGAGAAGACCAGATCTGACTTACTACAGCTCTGGAAGGGAGAGGAAGGCATTAGAGAAAAGGCTGGTCATTTCAAACTTCCAAAGGAGTAACAACAAAGCTGAGAATTTAGGCAAGAGCTTAAATGCTGCTTTAACCTCCCTTCTGCTACAGCTGGAGCCAGCAGCTTCTCCTTTACTCCTCCTGCCACCTCCTGACTGTAGGTGGTTCCACTTCAGCCTGGGGCCTTTACCTCTCAGGAATGGGGAGGGCCAAGAGTTCCCCTCATACTATAAAACCAGCCAGTTTAAAGGGCCCAGAAGCCATTACTGGTAATATAATTTCATTTTAAGTTTTTGAAAAGGTAAAGTTTATAAATAACTCCCAGCAACTGAGAAATGGGCTTCCTGGACAATGGACTAGGCTTGACTTCATAACACCATAAATGCTGATTATTGAGAAAGAACCTATAAGCTTAGGGCCATGTTCAAAGGATTTAAAA